CATATGGGTTATTTTAGTGATGGGTGGGATTTTATTTAAAATTCCTATGAATCCTAGGTTTAGTATTTACTGTAGTAAACAATTATCAATTATTCCATCACTTCTTCGGATTATTTATTTTTAATCAATCTATATTCATGTGAAGTGTAGCTCATCTGCATTTTTCTTTCCCTGGAACCTAAATGTATATTATGAATTTGAATCCATCAGAAACTAAGTCAGTCAAAATCAAATTTAACTACATACGAAGTGAAAACGATTTGTATTTCGCAAATCAAAGTGATTGTTAAAGCAACCAAACTGTGTCAGAAATGTTCCCAAATTACTGGGTAAGGCTTTTATCAGCTCATCATCTGATCCAATAATTTTAATTGTGGCATTTCATTCGGCATGTCGCCGCACGACTTCTATGATACTCAAAGTCTCATATATATAATTTGAAAGGGGGGGGTCTGGGGGGGCGGCGCCCCCTCAGCAGGTAGCTTTTGCTACTTGTTTTATTCTAAAATAGGTCAGTTTTGCTGATTATCGCGTAATTGGTACGTTACGTTAATGCTTTTTTCCCATCTTTTTTTCCATCAGATATATTTGAAGATTTTGTCTCACCTGTAATGGCGGCGCAAACACTATTACATTCAGCTTGCAAGAAACGGAAGAACATGTTGCAAAAATCGATAGATTTAATTTTGGAAGTTTTGAACTCGCCTAACGCCGGAGCTCCTCAAAAAGATGGTGCCTTACATATGGTGAGTATCCCTGATCTTTCTTATTCCTGATGGAAAGACAGTTATTCAAGTCAGATCTGTGCTATATCATAATTCTAGCAGCCTTGAAAAATGCTTGATTTTAAAAAGCCTTTCAAGGCCTTGCAAGTGCTTGAAAATTGCTCCAATTGTACACTTTACTATCAGTCAGTGGTGAATGTTTCATGTATGTACACAGATTTTCAATGAAAAGAGGATGTCAAAAAAGAAAAAAAAAAACATAAAAACAACATTTTCATTATTCAATATGACTTTACAAGAAGAAAACTCTAATTTTCCTTACTTCAAAGCACAAAAAATTAAATTTTTTTCCTCTTCCTTTCCAGATTGGTTCCATAGCTGATATCCTCCTGAAAAAACCAATGTATAAGGACAAAATGGATGAGATGTTGGCACGTTACGTCTTCCCCGAGTTCTCAAATCCCAAAGGTCACATGCGAGCTAGAGTGAGTAGCTTTTTTCTCTTTCTTGAATTTCTAAACCATTCAATAAGCATTGTAGCAAGAAATTCCGAAGTTGCCTACTTTTCTCCTCTACAGAACCGTTTTCTGTAAGATTGACAGAAGAATGTCGCTGGAAAGTTTTCTCTTGATCAGAAGACTCAGCTTGTCGGTAGAAATTTGCTATTTACTGGCACATTTTAACTACATTTTGCAAAAAGGAAGTAATAATACAGGCTATATCATCAAAGCACCTATCTGTTCTGGAAATCTGACAGTACATTTGTTGTTTTTAAAATGAGCCTTTAAAAGTAGTTCCTTACCGCTAAATGCAGTTCATTTACTTGTACAATATTTGTTACTCTTCTTCATAAGTTACTCTTGGCACCTTACGGATCATTTCTAAGTTTACGACTTATTCACAATCGATGGAGTGAATAACAATAGTTTCCTTTTTCCTGTTGATGTAATAGTATTGTCGGAATTTTTAGATTGCTAATGCTTGATCCATGATTATACCAATTTTTTTACGGCTGTTGACAGTCAGAAATACGTTGTTGACTCTTTGTTATGAGATTTCAAGTATAGCAGCCATTGCAATAGGTCAGATTGTGTTTTCATCTTATTCATTATCACCTGGTGGAAAGGATAAATTAGGTTTCCAGTTGCTCCCGCCAATAAGCCTTTTTCTTCACTTTGGAATGCAATGAATTGCATAAAATATTTTTCCTTCTATTGATTGATCTATGATTATAACAATTATTTTACGGCTGTTGACAGTCATACATTTTTTGATGATTACTTGTTATGAGATCTTGCGTGCAGCAGTTATTGTGAAAAGTAAAATTGGGGTTCCTCTTTTTCACCTTTGCGAATGAGTCTATTTTATTTTAACTTTATTACTTTTATTTACAACTTTAGCACAGCTGACTGCGCTCCTATAGAGTGATTGTACTCATCAAGCATACAAGCTATTGGGATGAGATTTACATCTCATGATAAAGCTCAAGAGCTTCACAGAAAATCATTGACTTTATACCGTCAAACCTATTTGTAAAAAATTTGCTATTAAGAAAATAACTTCTAACCACTGCCAATCACAGAAAGCATTCCTTACATCTAACTCCAGTTTTAACAGAGTCCCTGATCATGATGTTTGTCTTTAAAGAAGTATTCGCCGATCAAAAAGTACTGTTTGTTTCCTAAGACCCAAGTATAAAATAAATTGAAATCCAAGGTATTTCGAATTTTGTTAACGAATGAATTCAATCATTCTGTCACGCATGTCGGCTATCTCTCGTGAATTGGCCACCCGCAGAATGTGTTATGGCTCTATGATTGTAACAATTACTTTACGGTTGTTTACAGTCAGAAATCTTTTGTTGATCCTTGATAGAAGATTGCAACCACAATAATTGATAGAAATTGAGGAATGTTATTCTGTTTTTGTTTAGTTTTTGTATGATCCAATCGAATTGGATTTATTTTCCTAAGTAATAGGCGACTGTTGTTAAAACTTAAGATCGCCAGAAATCGCAAAAATCTTTCCTCTTTTGCTAGTCCTTGATCTATGATTAGAACAATTTTTTTACGGCTGTTGACAGTCAGAAATCTTTTGTTGATGTATTCTTATGAGATCATAATTATAGTAGTTTATGCAACAGGTTGAAACCCAAACCACTTTTTGCATGTTTTCTTCCCTGAAAGTGCTATATTTTTATATCCTAATTTGATTTTCATGGGTTTTCAGGCATGTTGGGTTTTACATTACTTCAGTGAAATCAAATTCAAGCAAGATGAAGCTATTTTAGAAGCAACACGTCTTGTGGTCAACGCGGTTCTCAAGGACGAAGAACTTCCTGTTAAAGTTGAAGCTGCGATCGCTCTTCAGATGTTCCTCAATTCTCAAGACAAATGTGAAAAGTTGATCGAACCCCAGGTAAAACAGCAGTAAAATTGAGGAGCAACAGTGGTTTTTTTAAAGAAGAGTCCTATTAGCAACAGGAATTTTTTTCAGCACGATTGTATGAAAATTGTTCCCTCAAGATTGTTATACCTCTTCAATTTATTTGCCATCTCTACAAAAAAAAAAAAAAAAAAAAAAAAAATGGTATAAATTGTGTTCAAAACCTTTCAGACGTAGCAAGATGCACTCTGTGTCAATTTTGTCTGTAAATTGATTCAATTTGAAGTCTTGCTAAATTATATAACAACTAAATTTCTTCCGTTTTTCTGTTTAAAAATAATGTTGAAATTTTGCTGTGACATTACTTTATAAGGAGTCTCCGTACATACAGGATGAGCGGAAAGTATGCAATTATCAAAAAAAAATTTCAGAGGGGTCTCTAGGTCAATGAGTGCTAGTTTTTGGCACATCCATAATTTTGAAGGGAGCCCTCCTCATGGGCAGCGCTCCCCCAGTTTAAATATTCATATGATACCCATCCCACCTTGTTCTACATTTTTGGAAACTTAATAGGGAAAAATAATTTTTGGCTTATATTGAATGTCGCTACCACTTGTTTTCTTGATTAATCCTTGGTCAAATTTCAAAATTGGGCAGTTTTCTGAACCCTCAAGTCCGGTTCAGGAAGTCGCATTAAGGCAAACAATGCAACATACTTATCACTACTGCATGTTATTACGATAGAAAACTGCGGAACACCTAATTGATTTACATTGCGAGTGAATTTTGGCTCACCCTTCATAAAGTTTTCATAATTCAGCCACATCAAAATGTTGTCCGGAAAAGTCAAAGCTTAAATTCATATTTGATCGAAGCCAAGTGGTTTGAAGAGAGTCACAGAAGCATTAATGTGCTGAGAGCTTTTATTTATTTATTTATTTATTTATTTATTTTTTACTATTGTTATGCAAAGACAATACTATCTATTATTTTTGTAATCCAACAGGCACTATGAAACAAATTAATGAGAAGTTTAGGTGTCTTGATTTTTCCCGTTTCGGGGCCTTATGAACTGTACAAGTTTTTTACCTTTTCATCGTCCCCAAGGGAGAAGGCAAGCGATGAAATAGATTGAGTCTAAATATTTTACCTGAGACTATTTTATTATGAAGTTTGACTCCTCATGTTTATTAAGGTTTTGTTCTTCTCTTTTTGTGCTCGTAATAGATCAAGGAAATCACGATGGAGCTTCTGCGAATCATCCGAGTGACAGAGAACGACGATTTGACAAACGTAATGCACAAGATTGTTTGCACGTATAACGAGCGACTGATCCCCATAGCCGTTGAGATGTGCCAGCACATGGTGACAACACTGCTCCAGGTCATAAATTCGGAAGAAGGCTCAGATGAGAAGTCAATTATGATCATGGGTCTACTAAACACTCTAGAAAATTTGTTGAACGTGATGGAGAACAATCAGCTCATCATGTCGCAGTTAGAACCAATTGTAATTCAGGTAAGAGCTTATCTAAGTCATCGATTCATTCACGTCTTTTTTTCTTTCTCTTCATTTGAACTTGGTATTGTATCTTACTATATCATAGAAGAGTATGAGATGCCTTGAAAAGTCCTGGAATGTATTTGTACTCATACCCTCAAAGTTTCAAGTCCTCGAATTTCAGAAAATTATCCAAATGCGTTTAAAAGTCCTTGAATTGCTTGTTCCATGTTTAGCATCATGCTAAGCCTTTTTTAAAACCATCTCCCAGTTGAAAATCCCTAGAAGAAGTGAAATCTTTGGAATTTTTTTCGAACTATCTGGAAAAATAGATAGTTTGCCATGAGAAAACACCTGCCACTTTGTATCATCTTAATCGGAACATCGTGTCACAGTATTTTTCTATTTTAAAATCAGTGTACGTATTTCACAACTCAGTAAATTGTTTTATTCACTCACATTTTGCCGTATAAAGTAAAAACACCATGCCTATTTTTTGTTTTGTTCGCAGGTCGTTGCTTGTATATTTACACAGAAACAGAAAGAATTCTACGAAGAAGCCCTTTGCTTAGTATTCGTCCTCACGAACAAAGCCATCTCCCCGGACTTGTGGAAAGTCCTAGAGCTTATGTATTCAATTTTCGAAGATGAAGGAATCGACTATTTCTTAGACATGATGCCCTCACTGCACAACTATATTACTGTAGACACGCAAGCTTTCCTTTCAAATGAGATCTACCTCCTAGCCATGTTCAACATTTGCAAGAGTGTTCTGAGCAGTGATGCCGGCGAGGATCCAGAGTGCCATGCGGCAAAACTTTTAGAGGTAGGTGTGATGAATTGTAGAAGCAATCGTACGTGTCTCAAAATTGTGTCCTGATGAAAAAATTGTAAAGATTAAGGATGATTGACATATTGCTAAGGATGATTGAACGTTTTATTGCTATTTTTTTAACAATCTCTGGATTTTATAATATATTTGTATGATTTAATGTGCTTAGTGTTGGATTCTCTGAATAACAGGTCGGAGCCCTAGTTGTTCGTAGAAGGAAGAGGAGAAGGAGAAGAAGAATAATAATGAAAAGACTAAAAGATCTGTTGCAAGCCGAAGTTCTGCACATTCACTCCTTTATTGGATGTATTGTACTTCAAAAAGCACGTTGATGTCATTTATGTGTTGTCAGAGTATACTAAAGTTTTCCCCCCTGATCTGAGTTGTGAGGGTTAAGGTTCAAGCAATTAAGTTTCAAGAATTAGGATGCAAGAATTCAAGGAATGTTGCTCTTGCATGCGGCGAGTATTCGCGATTGAAGTGAAGTCTAAGAATATTTGTGTAAAATTTTGCGAGAGAAAGGATAGTTCCTCTGATTCTGTCTAAAGAAACTTCAAGCGCAAAAGAGACTCCAAGTTGAGGACGTACTGAAGGGGATTACCCTCATGATAGAAGGAATTTTGTGCAAATGAATTAAAGCAGAGGGAACCATGTAGCATGCTAACTCTATCCCCATAGTTCGTTTTAATCTAATTCATTTTCTTTTAGTTTCTTTCAGCATAACGACATCCAACTACTGCTTGATTGCCTTAAAAACTAAGAAAAAAATTAAACTCAGAACTCAAGCAAGGTGCACTCTGTGTCAATTTCAGTAATAAATTGATTCAATTTGAAATCTTGCGATATTATATCTCAGTTTCTGTTCCCATTGTCCTTGTCAACATTAAAGGCAGTGTTAAATTTTTACTGAAACATTTATCATGATTTCCTATTCAAGCATCTCTTCAAATTTCGAACCTGTATTCACTCGTTGAATTATTCCAAGAACGTGCAGGGCTCTGGGTTTTCTTTTGAATCCTGTAACATCCATTTTGACTGTGAAACAGCAAAAATGTGCATCTGGGTTTTGTAAGCTGTAGATTTTCTGTCATAATTCAAAGTTCTGAATCTGGAAATACTCAATGTTATTTTTTGAAAACTTCTCTTATTTTTAGAGTTGGGCCGGGTATCCAGCGATTATCCAAATTGCCACATTATCCGGCTTTGGCCGGGTACGATTTCGGCCGGATAACTGTGCTATCCGGTTTTTGAACCTGCCGGATAGTGCTTCTTTGGCTGTGAAAATTGCGATAAATTTTTGGTGATAATTTGACGCTTTTCAGTGCACTTTGACTTGTCATGGTAATTGTCCAACTTTTCGAAACTTGTTCTTACCAGAAGTAAGTGCATTCTCCGCGAATTAATATGATCGCAACGTGATCCTTAATTCCTTGAGGCCACGTATTTCATTTTCAAAGATGAAGAATGCAATTAGGAGAGGGAAAAAAACAATGCCACCAACAGATGCATAAGTTCCCTTGTTGGTATCGTTTTTAGTCCAAGCGTAACGCGGCAAGTTTCGTAATGTTGCAGTACGCAGTTTGTCATTGCAGTATTGAAACGAAGACCAATTAAGTTCGTGATCAGTTTAAACATCCATTTTACATATTCATTTAGAGATTCTTATCAATAGAAATTAACCGAGCAACTTTCCGTCACAAGACAGGCTTTGAAATGCTGCAACTTTGGATCAGCAAGCAGCGACGGTGCTTTCAAAAGTGTGAGGTTGGCAGCGCTGTTTTCCACTCTTGTCTTGTTTACTTACATTTCTGATAATAATTTTCTTTCTGCACATCAGAATCGGATCGGTCTAGCCCTCGGCACTTTATCCGGTATTCGGTTCTGGCCGGATACAAAAAAATCAATATCTGTACCCACATTGAATGATGCGAAAAATCCATTTCGGCCCAACCCTACTTCTTTTTCATCTTAGTGTGAGGGATATTCTGTGCAAAATTCAAGCTAGTATTGATTTGTTCTCCTCTGATAAAATTAAAAAGAAGTGGAGTTTGGAAGTATTGCAAATGAGGTACGCTATTTGCAGTTAACTGTTAATATCTCTCTAGCTGCTTTCCGGGTTCCAGTTCTTTCATTTTAAAATACATAGATTTTTCACTTATTTTTCTCTCTTTCTGTCTCCTTCATTTGTAAAAATGTACTCTACTAGTTTTTATCTCAGACCTCTCCTCCATAAATTCAATTACATTTCAATCGTTTCCCCCAATTTTTAATCATATCGCTAACAATATATGTTTTCCTTTTTGCGCAGGTGATCATTCTCCAATGCAAAGGCAAAATCGACCAATGCATCCCATCCTTTGTAGAGCTAGTCCTCCAGCGTCTTATGCGCGAGGTCAAGACCTCTGAACTGCGGACAATGTGCCTCCAGGTTGTCATCGCAGCGCTCTATTACAACCCAGTGCTCCTCTTTGAGACGTTCGCCACGCTCCAAGCAACAATGCCTGCAACCGAGTCGATCGCATCACATTTCATCAAGCAGTGGATTCATGACACCGATTGCTTCCTTGGCCTCCATGACCGCAAGCTGTGCGTTCTGGGGCTCTGCACAATTCTCGCAATGGCGCCCAACCGGCCGCCAGCACTGAATGAGTGCGCGGATAAAATAGTACCATCGTTAATCTTATTGTTTGATGGATTGAAAAGGGCTTACGCAGCAAAGTATGCTGAATCAGACGAGGAGTCTGATTCAGATTTGGATGAAGACGATGACTCAGATTATGTAGAAGTCCTGTCTAGTGACGAAGATGAAATAGATGAAGAGGGTAACCAGTATTTAGAAACACTAGAGAAGAAAATCAATAAATCGGCAGCTGATAAGGATATGAATATCACAACGGCAATTATGGTGAGCCAGTTAGTTTTTCCTTCCTAATGTGGATAACTTAGTGACAATGATTAATACTGCTGGGGTTTCTACCACCGGTAAATTCCAGGGTATTGAATGTGAAGGGAAATGCAGGGAATACCCGGAGGAAATTTTGCATTAACTCTGGAATTTCAAAGGATTAGAGTTCAGTGAAAAAAATTACTCAGATGAAGATTTTAAACCAAAAGCTACCTGTTCTCCTGTTACACAGCTAATAGCACTCACTGATTTCTTCGATAAACAACTTTATGATGAATTTCTCATGACAGTTGTTTTTGTTTATACGTCCAAAAATTACTGTTTATCTGATTATGTGAAGCAGTCAAATATTTTTATGAAGTGTTTGAAGTATATTTTTGAAAAGCGTATCCATTTCAGCAATAGTAGACTATCCTACCATTTTGTTGAACAATATTGTGTGGTAGTGAAGTTTGATAAGATTTTTACAAGCCAAAAGTTGCTTTTCTTAGATGTCAGCGACCGAAGTCTTGGCAGTGGTCATGTTTCTCCACTGCAACGGTTTTGCTCCTGTATTGATAGTTAGTTTCTGCCAGCACTGCTGGGAAAATACAGGAAAAACGGAAGGTAGTTTAGTTACAGGAAATGTGGATGTAAGGAGCAACGCAAGTTATTTTATTTTGAAGTTAATTTTGGTGTCAATGAAATGTTAATTATTCTGGCATTTATTTTTTTGGTACCAATGAAATGTTGAGTACATATTCCTGCTTTGATTTCCTGGAGATTTATTTCACAAAAAGTGTCTTAATCTGCCCAATGTTTACTGTTTTTATTTTTGTTTGCCAGAGTGATGATGACTCCGACGATTCAGATGATGAGGATTACACGCCTCCAGAAGAGACTGCCTTAGAAAGTTACACAACTCCTTTAGATACCGATGACTACGCAATTGACGAATATGTCACGTTTAAGGAAGTTCTCTTGGGTATGTAATTATTGCGCACTTTTATTAATCTTTATTTAATTGTTTAAACTATTTACAAAAGCTCCTAGTCAAATTTAATAATATGTAGATCCAGTCCACTCACTTGTCAGAGCATAATAAAAATTTTTATCCTCAACCTTTCCCTTGAATACTTTCAAGGTTTTCAAAGATGGAGTAAATCAGTGTTGGTTTGGATGATAAGATTCAGCTGTTTTAATTCTACAGCCGACTCTTGTCTCAGTGTTTTGGAATAAATTGGTAAACCTAATATTGTATCCTGAAAAACATTGATTCCAAATTCCGTTCAAAATTTCTTGAAATAACTAAAAAGTGTGTATGAATTATCAAAAATCATTTCCAATGGAAGAAAAAGCCAATCCAAAGCCGCCAGTTGAGTTGATGTAGCAAGGCAATGCTTGTAGGTGAGTTCGACCAATCAGGAGAAGTCATTCCCCTGGCCTGCAGCCTGATTGTTGAAAAATGTGTTTGTCGGGTAGACATAGATGACATAGGTTAAAAGGCGGAGTGCTATTGGTCGGGTATGTCCTATTGCTGCTTTATTGTGTCTATGTCAGGTGGAACTCACAACAAGCTAAAGGCACCTCTTAAGTTTTTGACAGCATGTTGTCTATTCCACCTGACAAGGAGAAGATAAAGCAGTGATAAGACATAGCCGACCAATTATGCTCCACCTTTTAACCTATATCATGTATGTCCACCCAACAAATACAAAATATCAACGATCAGGCTGCTGGACTTGTTACAAGTACTTGCCAAAAATATTGTTTCAGATGTGTCCTACTTTTGGTATTTTCCAAACAGGGTTGCTTTGTCATTTAGAGTTATAAAAAATCTGAAAATTTGTTTAAAGCTGCGTTTGCTCCGACTTTCAGGAAATGAATTTAAAAAATGGGTGCCGCAGACTCAAATGAATAATCGGCTTGCTGAGAACTTAACTTTGTAGCATAGGGACAACCACTATTCTGCAAATAAAGAAGGAGAATTGACCTAGTTTTAAAACTCATGCCTCATTTGATTACATTTTACACTTAGATTTTGCACTTTTTCAGCTGTAAATTCTGTGTTTTAAGTAGTTTTGTCTGTTAACAGGCCTACAACAGAATGACCCAGGATGGTATGGAGCACTGACAAGCCACCTTAGCACTGAGCAACAGAAGGCTCTTCAAGAAATTATGACTTTAGCCGATCAGCGCAAAGCTGCAGCTGAAAGCAAAAGAATAGAACAAAGCGGAGGTGAGACCCATGACTTATGTTAAGTTACCTGGATCCAATATTTGAAATGTCTTCCTGACGTTTCAATGTATTTTTCTTCTGTTCAAGCTTTGAAAATAGGCCATAATGTTGACAGTGCTTCAAAACCATGTGTGCTTGTTTCTGGAAAAGATAAATACCCGCAAAGGGATGTATTGTAATTAATCGCAATGGGAGTAAACTCAAAAAAAGTAAATTTCTCCTTCTGTCTCTTACTGTTGGAAGTAACACCAGCCACAACAATCAGGAAGACACCTGAAGATGCGTATTGAGTCTAATTAAATCGATAATTTAAAATAGGGACCAAAATGCTGATTTTCCGTAGTGTTCTTCATTCTTGATGAGGTTTTCCCTCTGGAATCTGGGATGCTACAGTCAGGGAATACTGAGAAAACCGAGAAATCGACGTGTTACAGAAAAATTGTTGAGTCACCTCCATTTGCTCTCCAGAATGGGTTCTAAATTGGGTTTGACTGAAAACTATTTCAAATTGTGTCTTTTTAACATCAGGCATATCTTCAATGGGGTAGTTGCATACAGCTGGGATTTTCGATCTGAAGACTGATTCTAGCAGAACTTTTTGCGACAAAACCGATTTTTGAGGAACCTTGGTTTCTTTGGGATTGAAGGGAGGATGGATTTCAGTTTCTGGCTCTTCCAAAAGAGCCAGAAACCAGTCGTGATCCAGTCGAGATTCCATTCATCATTTATAAGACATTCTCTCATAGGCAATAGTTGCGAGTAGGAAATAAAGTTATCACATTTCATTCTTTGAAAGGATCATTTCCAGACGTAAATACCATTCTAAGTCCAGAAAAATATTGGCAATGCACTATTAGGGGCCTCCCAACAATGTCACAAGGGGCTTCATCCATGCACCCTTGGTCTTAGAAAAAATAGTATATTTTGATATGTCCGCTTTTTTAAAACGTTTGATGCATACTTAATTGACTATAGTGTTTTTTAATTTTATTTCTCCTTGTTTTTCCAGGATACAGTTTTGTAAATCAAACGGTCCCAACATCTTTCAATTTTGGTGGTCAGCCACTGGGAAGGTAAAGTCAGCTGCTGGCAGTTTAGGTTTTTTAAATTATCACATGTTAAAATGTTATTGTTAACTGTTGAAAACTATGTTTGTAAATAAGCATGTGTCTACGCAGGGCACCTTATGACCTGCAGTTCATTAGCTGCTTGCACAAACCATTTGACTTCTAGATTACTCGAGTAATGGACGCAAATATAAATGAGAAAATGACGTTATTAGGCATTGAGCTTAATGGAGAGTTTAAAATCCACTCTCATTTGGTTTGAAATTTTTGTCGTCTCCTTCCATGTCCTTTTAAAGGGGAAAAAGAATATTTAAACACAGCTGAGTCAAATTAGTAGTCTGAATGGTTTGTGTACTCTGGCGCAAAAGTTTTCGTAAGCTATCTATCATGACTTCGTCAAAAATGGCTCAGACGTATGCATTTTTTCTTTTTTCTTTGTTTCTTTTTATATCTCGTACGAAACCCCCATTCTTGCTTTGATCAACCGTATGAACCGTTTTGTTGAGAAAGAAAAATAGAAAATATAGTGGTAAGACTCGTTTCGGTGATGAAAATTAGTGATTTTACAGTAAGCGAAAAACCCGAATTTGTGGTGAAACAGAGGAGGAGGGAACCGTATTACCTTTGAAGATAATGAGGAAATACCTAAACAGGGGATAATGATGAAATACACCTGTTAAGTGAACTCTTGACGCATTTTTCCCCCTGAGACAGTTCAGTAACTGTTTAATTATTTAAAAAAGGCACTCTAAATTGCAAAAGTCTTTCAAAATTCGGTGAACGAATCTATCAAAGTAAAGTCACCATAATATTACCTCTTAAGTGTGTATCTTGTGCTTCAAAATATTGTCTGAACGTCGACACTCTGATAGTGTGAGTCAGTGAACATATTTCATGATTGGCAATCATGAAAATAGCCTTATCTTGAAAGGAAAGACAAATTCTTTTCTGAAAACCTAAATGATCCATTTTCGAATTAAGCTCATTTTAGGATCAAAACTCAATTAAAAAGAAAGTGTTGAAAATTGGTTCCTAATAAATTATACAAGCAAACTTCTCATAGTATGAAATGATGACCGAAATGACTCAAAAATCCTTAGTTTTACTAATTTATTTTTGCGCAAAAAGTATTTATGGACAAAGATTCCCTCAGAGAAAGTGATCATATAATTTCTTGACAAAAGTTTATGAATGAACCATTATTGAATTTTGTGATTGAATCAAAAAGAGCTGGTCTGAAACTCTACTATAATGCTTGCTGCGCTCGGTCGAAGAGAGAGATTACTTTGATAACTAATATTTATTACTGTAGCCCGGTAATTGTGTGCTGTGATTCTATTAACCCGCCTCTGGGACTGGAACTCAGTTCTCCACTTGTATTGATTGTCGATGTAAGATGCTATGCTCTGCTGATTTTTGCGAGGATGCTTCCTAGGTTTATTTTTTCAAGTGACAGGTTAAATATGGGAGGTATTACAGAACGAGAATGTTACCTAAGTGTACCTAATGCAACCTAATAATAGACCTTTGACACTTTCGAATCCATAGAAATATCGTCCGAATACGCCCATCAAAGTTAAATCAACCCAAAATTAAAAAACCCAACCAAAAAGGAAATCCAAAACTAACAGAAAACACAAAATGTGCAGAACAAGAGAAAATATAACCCCTATTTTCCCTCTATCCCCCGATCTTCCCTCTATTTTCATTAGTGGAATCAGATCCTCTTCTACAGCTAGAGGTTTGCTCATTTTTTGGCCATCTATTTCTTTATACAATTTTTTTAAAGATAATATGAACGGTCCAAGTGTCCACTCATTACTTACTTATGTTTTTTTAATACGAAACTAGATTTTTGAAGTTAAGTATGGCCGAGTCGGTAGTGGGCCACCGGAATCCCGAATATTGTTCTCGAGTCTTGTGACAAAGAGCCGGTAATCAGCAGGTCAAAGGGACTCAGAAACACCGGCAATATTCTCACTTGAGCTGTCACTCAATTTGCTTTATCAGTCCATTTTTTTCAGCCTATTTAAAATTTTCATCTTTTTTCAGCGAACAACATTCAGTTTTAATCGTATGTAGCACTCGATTGGCTGTATAACTCTAGTAGTAATTAATGATACTCATGTAAGGATCTGATTCTGAAGTGTTTTTTTGGAAGAAAGCTTTCAAAACTAGCAAATCGTAACGGACAAGGGATACAAGATAGGTATTCTATGTAAATTTAACTAGGAAGCGCCCCTGATATCCTACTTTTGGGCCAGTCACTGATTCAGTGACTTCAAGTAGAAACCGGTGATAGACCTCGTCTCCGCAGTAAAATTGAGTCAATAATTTACTGTCTATCGCACAATGGAAAATATGTATCTTGTTTGCGCAGTTTCAATATTTCTACTGTCAGGTGGTCTATGACATTTCTGCTTTTTTTCAAGGGAAAATCGTCTTACAAATTAGCTTGAAAATTTCGGTCATTTCCCACAAGGTGAAAAAAATCACCAACAATTTTAGATAAATGCGTGTGAAGATTTTCTAAAAAAAAGGAAAAAATACTGAAGCAGCATAAGCGAGATACATTCCTTCATGCGAGAGACTATGAATTGTAGTCCGCAATCCTTTCATGTATTTTCACTCGCTAACTGTTTGAACTATCCTCTCTTCAAATTGAAAATGTCATTTTTTTCTTATTTATCTATGAAGTTTTAATGACCCAGTCAGCAGGGCTGAAACTTTAACTTATTCGAGTGTGTGCTAAACGCTCTGTAATTAACGGTTTTAAAGTTTTCTAAATTGATAGGCAGAATAAAATCCAATGCCAAAGTGTGCGGGTTTTCTTTTTAAGACTGAACTATTACAGACATGCCAAGCTGTTTCTTATCTGGAAGGATACGCCTATTGATTAGTCTGTTTTTATTTTTTATCGTATTTATTTTTTTTGTAAGTAATTATGAATTACCAATTAACCAACCCTTCAAGTGGCTTGCGGTATCTCATTGTAAAAGTGGTCTGTGGACTCACGCAGTCCAGCTTTGAAGTTTTATTTTTAATAAACCTAGTTTTCCATTTGTACCTCAATCTTATTTTTTACCTATCTTGTCCTCATCTCACCGTTATCACTCATTTTTATGCTGAGGGATATCATACTGTCATCACTCATTTTTATGCAGAGAGGTATACCGTTATCATTAATTTTTATGCAGTGGGATGCAAGGGTTACATTCATACCCACTCCTTTTCTTAGTGAGGTCCTGTGCATGGTTTGCATTGTGATTGAGGGACTTTAAGGGAGTCTTCAAAGTTGCATCATGTGTTGGACAATTTTTGCGAAACTTGGGTGAAATTCATTAATTCAACTGTGGAAATAGATCCTTGCGAGGGATCACTCGGATTTGTCACCAAAAAATCATATCCATGCAGGGTGTCTAGAAGTCCGGAATTTCCCGAAATAGCACTGATTTTTTAAGGGCAGTCCGAAAATAATGATAAAATGCGGAAATTCCACAAGAAGGTCCGGAATTTGTTTCACTTTTATCGAAATTTGAGCGAGAAATTCAAATTTTTGAAATTTGTCGAATTTCGTCAACTGAAGGTACTGGAAAAGAACTGAATTTTTCTGTTGAGGAGGTACTGAATTTCATGGGGATGTCCCGAAAAAGTACTGATTTTTGGCCTGTCTGTTCAGTAGACACCCTGCTATGGCTTAAGTGCATCCACTTATCTCCATTAGAACGTTTCAAACTGTCAGTTCCTATTTAATTTTTCGACAAGAAGCGAACCAACTTTGTAGCTTGGAATTCATTCAGAATACCTACTCTACTTACAGAGCAGAAAAATCAAGGAAGTTTTCCAAAATATTACGATGAATATTTTTCCAAAGAAAAAATAAAGATGACAGGAAGTCCACATGTCGCTTACAGAGATATGTGGTTTCACACTTGGGTCATCGATACATCGTCTAAGAGGAGATTCTGCAATTGTAACGAACTTCAAAGTGGGTTGGGTTGGGACCTACCTCAAAATTTTCCTTGATTTAATTACCTTACATTATTAAAAGTTATTATTTCAAATTTTGCATCTGAAAAGGAATACAGAGTATTACTCCATGATAAATTACTTGGAAGAATCCCGTGTCAAAATAAATGAAGAGTTCAGTGTGAAACAATTAGCTGCCAAGTACTTGTGCTATTAAAACAAGAGGGGTTAACTTTTCTAATTATAACTCAGGCTCTAAAAATAAACTTGAACTAAAGCCATGATTCCGGCTGAAAGTTCTTACAACTTACACTTGTATTGAGACGAAGCATTCATGAATCAAATTCTTTCTGCGAGTGTTGTCTTTCAGACCGCAGGTAAAACTGGGTTAGTGATCTATGTCCTTGCCAGTTTCTTCACGAAAGATCACTGCTAACTGCCAAATGATGAATGAGCAAGAGAGAATTGCATCACTGACCCGCCAAGGTATTTTTTCCAGGAGGGGCTATCCACCTTTGATGAATTGCCGTCTTCAAATGTGAGTTTGGAGACTCAGGATAAGTGGCATTGCCAAGTTCAACTGGACGATTGCCTTGTCAGGTCACTGAATTTAATCACTTTGTCAGCTGATTTCTCAGGGCGACTAGTTTTCTTGGATTTCAAAATCCCCTTACTTTCAAAGGGGTTTTTTTTTTATGCATTATTTCTCATGAAAATGATTTGCAAACAAAAATGTTTGGCCCAAAGTCTGTTCAGATTGAAAACATTCAAAAATTTTAAAGCAGAAGTTCTAACTTTTTTCCACAGAGCGTGTGGGTGCGGTGTTAGATTCAAAAAATTTCGGTCAAAGGAAAGAATAGTAAGGTCTCTCGGTGCAATTCTTCAACTTTTTGGGGTTGGACGAAATTTCCTAACTTTACCAAGTTTCCAAACACTTAAGAATTTGTCACCCTGTTGTTCTCAGCGACCATCGTAGGAAATAATTTGCAAACCCAATGATATTGTTTCCTAACATTCCAGTTTGAATGAAAAATTACCTTGAACTTTTTGTAGCTTAATTAGTAGGGTATAGAATCTTAGTGTAGTTCTACTAAAAATTTGAACCTCCACAACAAAAAATGTTTTAAATTCTTCTGATCAAACTTAAAAAAGCATTGCTTGGCAAGAAAAAAGAAAAAAAAAAAGGTGACAGTTTTCGATTATTAGTTTCTGATAAGAAGTAAGTGGTACACAGCTGTGCTAAGTCAAAGAGCAGTAAGTCCATATTTTGCTAAAAGTTCACTGACTGCAAGGTATAATTCAGTTTGTATGAGTAAGATTAAGATACTCTGTATGTAAAAGCAAAAATTGAAACATTTATGTTGATGATTTACAGCCTAAGGTTGCAACCTCTGCATGAGACTCAGCACAGTAAACATACTGCAGCTGCAATGAGTTAGAAAACCTGCTCTTACTGTTGACTGACTTGGCAAAGCAGATTAGCACATACATTCTTGTTGAATCTGACAGGAAAACTGACTGGAAAGTCCTATGTTGCGGTGCAATTCAACGCAAACAACGATTTTAAACAGCTAGTGCCAACATTTTCCTTATGCACCACACAATCTTCTAGAAAATCAATGATAAAAATATCAGTATCCCCTTCCATCACAGACCTCTTCCAAAGATGCCCCAAACGCGAACACCTTCATGTCTTCCGCTGTGGTTGTAAACTGTAGAAGTTCATTCAGTAATGAGAACTATGTTGTAGCATACTGCACAATTTTTGACCCTTTACCGGCACTATGGACACTTATTTTCTGTTTAAATTAAACCTTTTTTTGAAAACCGATTAAATAGTTGGATGACTTACTTTCTTATTAATATTCTTTACGCCCAATGGCCATTTCGGGTGGGCAGGCTGCCCATCTTCAGGTGACTGAACTGGTATGGAAAAGTTGAAAATTCGGCGCGAAGATAGCCGCGCCAGCGCAGTTACTATCGCGACTCTCCTTCAACGAGGCCATCTCGATCGAAATGGCCATTGTGCGTAAAGAATAATAAGAAAGTAAGTTATCTAACTATATGATCTGTTTTCAAAAAAAGGTTTAATTTAAACAGAAAATAAGTAGTAATGAGAAGTTTGCAAACCTATGTCATCGCGCCATTGGGAGTGAGGGCCACTGCCATTTATCAGGCAACACAGTTAAGATTAATATCAACAGAACTTGACGTAGAGAACCATTCATTCTTGATTCTGTTTCAATTGAATTTGAGGATCACCCACCGAACAACAATGTGATACTTTACAGAAAAAATTTCCTAAGTTTGATGAAGTTCTCTAATTTGATTAGTCTGAAGACGAGGATCAAAGCTGGCTGCTAGATTTTAGAGTGCATCTTCTCCAAAGGTATCTTAGAGAAAGTGAGCTGGAGACGGATGGACTTCACATTGTCTCCCTTTGATTAAAATAAATTACAGTCAGCTGAGATTTGGAAAGAGCACACTTGTTAGTTCGATGCATTTCAAACATGCTAACGGATGAGAACAAAACTAGAAATAAAATTTTATTTAGACTTTATTCTTTTAAAATATTGACGAATCAAATAAAATTGCTTTAAACTGATGGGTAAAAACTTAAATTCGTCACAGGTATCGCTTTGTTTCTTAGAGAAACACATTTTCTTTCGTTCTGGAATCGAGATCGATATTCAGACAGTTGCAAAAAAAAAAGTACAAAAAAGGACTTTCAAAAAGTACAATCAATTGTAATAACAACAGTATCTCTTTCACATACATATAATGTATATGGATAGAACTATACAGAGGTTTTGTTCTATACAATGATTAATGCAATCAAAATTAAAATCAGCTTTGTTTGCTGGCGGTGTCACAAGGTGTTCGGAGAGCTCCCTTCACTTTAGCGCGCGGCTGCGCGTTAACAAGAGACAAGAATTATTCTAACAAATACAAAATGAGAAAAATAAATAGAAATTAATTTAAAAAAAGAAACAAGTTTAATGGAATTATTTCGCGTACAAGTTAACGGTAATGGACTGACTACCAAGAATGCACTGTTTTGTTTGTACTACTATCTAGCTGGTAGGATACAAATAAAAATCAAAAGCAGCTTACGGGTCGACTAACAATACCCAGAACCCCGATGTTATCGTTCGCACGGTCAGTAAAAGATCACCAAGTCACTCTGGCATCCGGAGGATGTCTTTTCTTACAATTAAAAGTAGGTTTCGGAACTTTAATACAATAACGTTGAAAATATACAGCTGGTTACGGAGTTAGGTTGGCACTTAACCAATCAATTTCTTGAGCTCGTCGTAGAAGACAAGGACGAGAGCGCCACCAGTTCCTCTCAATACGTTGGAGAAGGCTCCCTTGAAGAAGGCGCCTGTGCCTTCAGTCTTGGCAATGACAGCCCAGCAGTGGAGTGTGTTCTTGTAGATAATTTCAGACTTGGCACGACCAGACTGCATCATCATACGCCTCCTCACTGTGTCGAAGGGGTATGAAACAATACCGGAAACTGTTGTAACAACCTGCAAAAACAGATCAGTGCAAGGGTTAGAGAGTGAATGGGGCAAACAGGGAAGAATTAAAAATTTATGAATCCTCTTTACTAGCAATTTAGACCAATGATTAATATGTCAGCCTCTGGTTCAACATGCATCTATTCTAAAAATTCAAGGCAGGGTTTCAGTAATCTAGTCATTTCCTTCTTCTCTGACTTTCTTTGCTTTCCTCCAACTCTTAAGTTATCAAATTTGTTGACCCTTGCACAGAAATTGGATTTACTCAATTTTATTTACCCTGAATTTTGTTAAACGCTGCTCACAAAATTCCCCAACTTCCCAAACTGCTTGAAACTCTGTTTTACAACCCTTGAAAGATCAGGTGCAATATGCATATTGCACCCTGTGATTCAATTTAATGAGATAATAATATGCCAAAGGTGCTTACTTTGATGTTTACTAGCTAATGCCTTTTGCCTGTTCCGACATCTTCAGACAACTCCTTTACAACAGTTCTGAGGATGACCGAACGGGCGAAATGCATTCACGAGTAGACATCAAAGTAAGCACCTTTGGCATATTATAGTCGTATTGAACCCTTAAAAGCGCCTCCAAAATATTCCTGTTCTCAGGGCAGGAGTGCCGTGAGATTTCATACCTTTCGAAAAGAACACTTGATTGAGGCTTGCTTCAAAATAATTTTTTCAATTATCCTTCTTCAATAAATGCACACACTTTTAAGAGGAGTGTATTATGAATTTAAGTGTCTGGTCATTTAAACTTGGAATGATGCCGTTTCTTTCAATTATTCTTCTTCAAGAAATGCACACACTTGTATGGGGAGTGTATTATGAATTTAAGTGTCTGATCATTTAAACTTGGGATGATGCCGTTTCTTGAAGCTTTCTCAACTTACAGTAATATGTCTATAGTCAGTTTTTTAACGAGAACTACCTCCTGATCATTTGATTTTTAAAACCTATCTGTAGATCCTACCTCCTAGAGAAATACTTAGGTTGTGAGTTCTGAGCCTTTTACTAAGAGTAAAACCATACCAATAGACATGAAAATATTTCCTGACAAAATTGAAGTCAAAATATATACAAACGCAAACCATTAATACCTACAGGTAATTTTTAAATTGAAATTGATACCTGAAGTTTAAGATGGACATATTCTTGTCATAAAGACAAGTCATCTATAGGAGAATAAAAGGCTGCATATCAATGGCTAAGGAACAATATTGCTTATCTGCCAGCTGACAATTTAGCAGGACGAAGAGAAAACTTTACGATTTTGGTAATTGGGAGGTTGGATCTGCAATTTCTTTGTGCATTGGACCGCTCCTCTGAAGAATTGGAGAGGACTAAAAAAAATTGTCTTGCATATTTTATATCATGGAATGCGGAAAGTTCCAGACTCATTTTCGCCAAAAATGTCACTTAGGCGGTATAGATCGTATTCGATACATCAAACGGGTGAGATTGTATCGATATCGATTGGTTCAATACATAAACATAGCCTCAAAAGTAAATTCAGAAATCTGAGAGAACAGATCTTTTGAAACAGATTTTTTATTCTTTTGAGTACCAAATGCCAATACAAAGTGAAATTGTCAGGAAATTTCTCATTTTCAGCTTTTCCAATTAAAATCCTTAGGGGTTTTGCCGACTGGCGACTTGGACGGTCAACCGTTGGAATACAGCGATTTACCCCGAATCTCCACCGCGGCGGTGCGTTTTCGGGGGTTCGGCACTGTCAACGTTGTGACGGACCGCCGCCATATTTGTTTACGAAACCAAGCCTACCGAACCGATCGCATGCCCAAGCATCGTGTGCTGATCGATTATAGTATAATGATAATTCAAAATTAATTTAATCGTTTCAGTCGTTCCATTTTAGCCTCAATAAGCTAAGCTCACCGTTACGCGAACGTAAGTATTTGTTTACTTTTTGCAACTGTTTCACTCCACTTGTACATTGTACCAATGTCTTCGTGGAGTGGGTTTTCCACCGGAATTTACGTATAAAAGTCTCCAAACGTCTCTGTTTACCTAATTGGTATGAATATCTAGTATTCTCAAATTTAAATGTAGTAGCGCTGCTTGATTTTGTAACTTTTAACTTTGAAGTTGTTTGTGATACCTCTTCGTTGATGCATCAAAGGTAACACCGGCCTCTTGCCGTAATGTGTCAATATTTGCGAAAGACGTCGAACATCCAACAAATTCCATTGCTGTCAGCAGTATAATCCATTATTTCAGTATTTTCCAGACCAAGTGCAAATAACTGAGAGGATAAATGCATAAATATCTCTTGACGCTTGCTGCCTGTTGGGCTGATTGTTTTATTTGTGTTGGGGTCAGAACAAAGCTGAATCAATGGCTTTTCTAGTTCAGAGGTAAGGAATTTATCTCAAGAGAATAATTTGATTCTGTTGTGCAGCCTCTCATAACACAGCCAGACCTAAAGTCCACATGCTTCTTTTAAGGTCTTTAAAGAAGTCAATATAAGTGAAAATTTTTTTTCGGGCCCTCAGCTACTTTATCTGCAAAGTGAAATCTACATTTTAACCATTCATGCTAGATATTCCAGAGAAATTGGTCAGTGATGAGTCTAAGTGTGTAGACTCTGATGGAAAATCCACCGGACAATGACGCTGGTGTTTTGAAGACAGTTACAAAAAAAAACAAATGTTTGCAAATGCGCAATAGACAAGTATCGAAATCTGAAGTCTACCATAAACGTACGACTTAACGTAGATTTGAAAGATTAGATTGAATGATTAATTGTAGCTGTGCCATTTCAGCTGGACCCGGGAAATCTAACTGGAGAGGTCTTGTGCCTGCGGGGAGGGAGTTGGGCGCTGCTGACACACTTCACAGTGAAATTGACCAAAATTGTCCCAGAAAAATGTTAGTACTCTCACTGAATAAGGGGGAGGGGACAATCCCTATTTACCTGATGTGTGAGAATTTTCACCCTCATGATAAATTTTAATTTGAAAAAATATGTTCCTCCTAGAGGCCCAACCCCTTTCTTGCTAGCACCATTTACATTTTTAAAGCAGCCTCAGTCTTGATAGCCTGCTGAATGGGTTCCATAATGAACAGAGATGCAAAATTGCATGCAATTTCATATAAGGTAAAATTTCATGAAAGTATAACTTCTGCAATAGGCTCAGTAGGCCGTGAAATGCGTAGAATCAGAAAATCTCAATATTTAACAAAATAAGAGTCAAACTCTTAATTTTATTATAAGATAATTTTATGGGTGGTGTACACTCCTCCTAAGAAATCTGTGTACTTTCATATCATGTTAGATTTCATTTTACATCCCTGATAAGTGATGACAAAAAATCTCTGAAAAGAAGGAATGAATGCTGAGGATGGTCGCTCAAGACTCATTCTTCTGGCTGCTACTTTTTCTCTCCTAGAATGCATTGATAAACGGCGACATTGCAGCTTTTGTCTTAACGGGAGAAAACTTCCTTCATTCGACTATCAGGAATTAATATTAACTTGATAAAAATATTTAAATGTAAATTTTAATTAAGTACGTGGTTGCTTCAAGTCCGCTTAAAGTGTGGATCTTGCCCGCGATCTATAAATTCAAAACACCCGCGCAATATGCGCCGCCATCTTAGTTGTTTACATGAAAACGTTGAGGTGCTCGATCCCCGAACATGCACCGCCGCGGTGGAGATTCGGGGTAAATCGCCGAATTCCAACGGTTGACCGTCCAAGTCGCCAGTCGGAAAGATTCAAATCCTTAGAGTTTGGTTTGAGGTTATGTTCTATTGTTTTGAACCAAACGATACATCGAACCGTTATCGAATACGGTCTATTGTTCCTTGACCCTCGATACGCCAGACTTCGCTGGAGAAGTGAATGCATATGCCATGACAAAGAGACAAGATGAACATTCAAGTGAGACTCACCTGGGCAATACCCCACGAGATGAAGAATCCAGCCTTCTTGGGGTCAGGCAACATTCCCTTGGCTGTGTCAAAGAGACCGAAGTAAGAGGCTCTGTAGATGATGATACCTTGGACTGAGACTCCGAAACCTCTGTACAATCCAACGATACCGTCAGATTTGAAGATCTTGGACAAACAGTCTCCAAGACCGTTGAATTCTCTGGCTGCTCCGGATTTACCGACATCAGCAGCTAACCTGTAAAATTAAGAGGAGGATTACAATTTAACTCAGTGGCTAGGCTCTTGCTTCGTTTCTTTCTTTCTGCGATAAGCTTAGAGCTGAATGGTTGTTGATCTGTGCAAGGCTGCTACTCTGGCTAGACCTAAGAATCCAGAGTTACTTAGATACTTTCACGATCAATTCTTAATAAGAGTTCTGGGGGTAAAATAAGCATCAAACTAATATGAATAAACTGAAGCTGAGGACATTTTAGGGGTAAAATTAAAGAATACAGGCTGAATACATCAGACCTGCGGTAGGTACTTAAGAAATAATAGAACTGAATGGTTCTGTTGTGACAAGCATTCCAACTTCATAGTAGAGTTATTGGGGCCATCTTGGCTGGCAAGAATAATTTTGAGGACTCACAATTTGTTAGAGGCCAAACTACTGCCACTGGACCAATTGTTTCGCTAAATTCTCATTCTGATTTTCAACTGCCTACTTAGAGAGTGATGTGTTATTGCTGTTTCAAGAATTAGCAGTGGATTGCATCTACATCTTTTAGGCACCATGTTTGGTTAGTGCTCTGAGTTTTTAGACAAAGCCTAATTTTTAAGCGCAATCAATAAATGGCGCTTTCTGAAGTTGAGACATTGATTTTGGGCCTTGTTACAGTTCCCCATCTCTCCCCATAGATGTAGATGCTCCTTTGCAAAAGGGTTATTACTTAGATGAGGAGATACTCTAACAAAAAAGTAATTTTAATAGAAGGCCAACAGAACTGTGATTTTGTGGAAATTACACTCTCATACTGGGTAAATATAGCAGAAAAACGATTTCCACATTCTCAGAAGTTCCTCCAGTTTCATTTCCAAAATTTCTTGTTGCTTACTTTGCCTGTTGTCTAAAATAAAGCCACGCACAACTGCTGGATGTGACAGGGGCATATAGAACACTCGCTTTCACTTTTGTTAGAATATCCTTCTATTTGCTGACATGAAGCCATTCTAATTACAGCCGTGTTTCTCAGAGACCCAATACTGGCAGATACTGCAAAAAGTTTGAAATTTTTTTATGGAAAAATAATCCCACATACTGCATAAACTAATGTTATCGTCCAAAATAATTTCCTTTGCACAATTAGGTGCTGGAAAGTCATGGAGTGGGTTAATTGCACTGGTCACAAAATCGTGTTTTGATTATTGATTCCTATAGATCAGCTAAAAATAATAAGATCTGTCCAAACGGCAACTTTCTATGTTTAATTTTAACCGAGCTATCGCGCTTTGAAAAATTCGGTTTATGATGTCATCCATCGCGGTAGTAACACCCTTGGTTTCTTCCATCTTGCTTTCAACCTAGTTTTATGTTGAGTAACCAGTGCAGATGTGCGTCTTCCAGACTGATTAGAGCAAGGTGGAAGAAACCAAGGGTGCCACTACCGCGGTGGATGACTTCAAAAATCCGGCTTTTCAAAGAGCGATAACTCGGTTAATATTGAATGCAGAGAGTTGCTGCTTTGACAGATCTTATTATTTATAACTGATCTACAAGAATCGAGCATTGAAACAAGATTTGGTGACCATTTGATACATTAATGTAACTGAGAAACTTTACAGATAAAAAAGTATACGAACCTAGTACGGGCGAAGTCAAGAGGATATACGAAGCAGAGAGAAGTGGCACCAGCAGCACCACCAGAGGCCAAGTTACCAGCGAAATACCTCATGAATTGAGTGTTCTTGTCAACGCCACCCAAGAAGACCTGCTTGTACTTGTCCTTGAAGGCGAAGTTCAAGGCCTGTGTGGGGAAGTAACGGATGACATTGGCGAGGTTACCACGCCAGAAAGCTCCGATTCCCTGTTCCTTGGGGATACGGATGAAGCAGTCGACAATACCTATAAAACAAAGTTTGAGATTCATGAGACACTTTGTATCAAAACAAAAAATATTGATCATTTTTCCACAGAACAAACACAGTTAGAGATAGAAACAAAGAATTTGAATACCTTCTTCCCTTGAGAAGAACAATGTCTAGGTTTGACATTTATAACTATCGACAGTACTTTCTATTCATTGATAAATAAAGCCATTAAGTGACTAATAAAAAAAGAAGTTACAAAAAGCAGATTTAGATACAACTACCTATAGTAGTGTGTTTGGCGAAAAGACTGACATCTCATCAGACCTAAATTTCGATTTGGGAGAAAACTTTGGATGAGGCCGTAGAACAGTTTTTATCAGAGCCAGGTTTTTTATTTTTTTATTTAATGAAAGAAACCTTTGCAGTTCACTTCATCTCCCATTTCAGATCTGATCCCCCCCCCCCCCCCCCCCNTTGGGAGAACTACGGAACAGTACAAAATGATAAGATCTTATTCAGAGGGAAAGGAGGGGAGGGAGAAAGAGTATGAGCTTCATGGATTTTATTACGCTTAGACGCATCCTAAGCTTGTCTTGGCTACTTGGACAAAAAACCCCTCCCCACAGCTATAAAACATAGGCTACTTTCATAATTATTCATTTCATCGGTTTCAAAAATAGGTTTAATGGGAAGAAAACCAGTCTAATCAAAGAGAGATCTAGAACTGTCTGAAGTTCTGATAACACTCTAAAAATCGTGTACACCTAACCTAAAAGTGGAGTTGTAGACTATCATTGAGAGAGATCAGTTCAGTGAGTCACTCAGAAGTCAATTGACAGACACAGCTGAGAGAGAGAACTGGTGAGACGGTCAGATGACCCTTCAGTGACCTTCAAGCCAGTTTGGACCAAGAGCCAATGAACACACTATTTTAATTTAAAATAGGTCATAAATGTTAGCTCCAATACATTAACAAGCAAAATAAACTTGACAGCCACAGGCTAGGTAAAACAGCAAAGGTAACATATAAATGCTGAGAGCAAACAATACGTAATGATTTCCCTCTGACTGGAAACCCACCTCACTGAGGGGCTTCTCTGAACCTCAACTGATGAGAGTTGTAAAGCATCTCCAAAGCAAGACTTCCACTATTTCCTGTGCAGAGAGGATGTGGCAACTGCTTTAGATTAGGGAGAAGAGAGAGGGGGATAAAAATATGACAGCACAAAAATGGCCTTAAAATTACATTGAGAATTAATGAGAGCCTTGGATCCACCATTCACAGGGTAGTTATGCGAAATTCAGGGACATTACACGGGGAAGAGGGCAATAGGTCTCACTGAACCAGATAATGGTGTTGGTATTTTTCTTTCTTTTCTTAGAGGAAAGAAAAAAAAAAAAAGAAAAAAAAATTTGAGGTTTTTTAGGTTTAAGGTTTTTTTAATGCAGACCCTCCAACTGGCAAGTGTAATGTACCCTCGAATTCGGCAAAAGTGACAGCTCTAAAAGAAATGCTACAATGCTGCTTCAGGTGATGACCTGCACCTGTTAATTAATACCACAGGGACCCGAAGGGGGAGGGGGGGGTGTGCACTACAACTAAGGCCCTGTCCACACGAGCACGGTTCGAGGAACTTATTCGACGAACTGCTCAGTTCCTGGAACTTATTCCTTGAAACGAGGCATGCTGTCCACACGAGTTCGCCCGAACTGAAACAGGAACTTCAATAAAACTATACAATTATCGCAAAATAATAGATTATTACGGCCGACAAAGTAACAAAAATAAATGTCAAGACATGTAAAGGACGTAAAAAACAAAAACAAACAAATTCACATCAAAAGAAACATTATATAGAAGCTCGGAGTACAGGGGAAGTTCCGGGTTTTGGAGGAATAAGTTCCGCGAACCGCGCTCGTGTGGACGAGGCCTAATGCTATTTACGTGGAGTCGGACTCACGATCAGCTAAAAACTTATTTTGCAAAATATGATCCAAAATGCACAGAGGACTGAATTTTGAAACTAGGTAGAATTTTGTTTATGTTTTGGTGGAATGTGCATTGTCGTGAGAATTCATCGCTCGGCCATTCTACTGTCTAGATGATGCACTCCCCTCTGAGAGGTCAGCTTGGGCATCAATAATTAGGGAAAATGTGGGCTATGCATACTCAAATTATCTCCTTTGTCTCTTCTTTAAAAGGGAACTGACAAGAGGGATCTTAAAATTTTCATAGGATACTGATAGCATTGGTTTCCTTGGAATTTGCATTATGACCAGGGTTAAAATTCAAATGTGTCATTCCGATCAATGACTGGAATAAAACAATGAAAAAGCATGGAGTAACTGCTTTGCAACCTAGTCAACCCTCCCTACTGGATTTGTTATTTCCAATTCTAAACCACGCCATCAGGAGTTTCAAAATTGAGTTTATAGCAATCATCTTTTTTTAATCCTTCCTTAAGGCTGGACACATGATTTTCTTCAGAAATATTCGTGTGATTGAGAACCTCCTGTCCACTATAGACAAAGTGATTGGGTTTCTGTATCACATGAGCAGCCAAGTGGAGCTGCATGGTCAAGTGGTTTAACAACTGTGAGACTGATTTTCCGAGTTCAATATAATATGGTTAGATAAATGAGCAGACACTTGATTTGAAACAAGCGCAAAGTACTCAAGATTTCTTATAGACCAAACTTGAGAGATGACTAATACTGGTCAAACTTCGCCACAACTTCAGGGGCTTAACGTGCGATCAAATCTATATTTCCTTAGATTCATATTCCTTCCCATTCCAAGTCAAGAATAATTTTCTATAGTGAAAAATCTAGCAGACTATACAATAGAACACTCAACAGGAATAAAAAAAACCCAAGACGTAACACAGAGAAAGAAAGAAAGAATGGAAGGTCAAACTGAGTTAGATAAAGTCTGAAGACAGCTGATAACGCTCAAGCTCTAGGCAGAGCGTCACTCCAACATGAGGACCTAGTTTGATTGCAACAATTTTATCAATGGACAGACGCTAAGCTAATTCGTTCCACTACATCTGGCTGATAATCAATTTGTAAGAGCAATTTGTTGAATTTTTCGCAATGCCTCGGCCATGCTTCTATACACACAGCACACAGAAAAGCTTGACCTACAAGGTATGATATTTTAAGACTGACTTCGGTAAGACTTTCAGAAGTGAAACACGTATGCTAAAACAGCCTTTGACTTGTGCACAACTGGAAGTTGGGATTTTTAAGAATTAACACTTAATAGTTAAAGCAGAATTGCAACATTGGTTTAAAATAAAGGTCTCCTTTTTAGCTCAACTATTTTTGTTGCAAATTTTCCTTTTCTTTCAGTTCAAGAGGAACAACCCAGGACTTTTTCAATAGTCTTCAGCTGAGAAAAGTTGGCGCATCAAATCTTATTCATAACTGGTTATGAAAAGATGATGCATTGATTAAAAGGTTATCAAGTTCTCTCTCGCCGCCAAAATCTGAAACTCAACTGATAACAGAGGAGTAGGTAGCTTCTCCACGATTAGGAAAAACTACTAGCCACATATTTACTGTTTAACCTAATTATTGTCTTATCATCTCCAATTCAACTTCTGCCTTAAAAAGCATAGACTTCATTCTTGGTAATCATGCAGCAAGCATTTACAGAATTTAGAGGCTACAAAATACAATTCAGGAGCCAATGAATTGATAATTGACTGATTGGCCAATTCCTACTTAGCATTCCTGGCCATTGGAGAATACGTGTGAGAGTGTGTGAGTAATATCTCCCAAGAACAAAGGGAAGCCGCCGGGCTACGTTTGGCGGGTTGCATACGTTTCCCGGTTACCTCCCATACATTTAGTACAGTGACATACATTTAATACTTTTTTTCCACAATTTAAAATGTGATTCTGCCGAACAAACTTGTTTCTTTCGATAGAACTAGCCGAAATATTTAACTGAAAATTCCACGCCCGGAATACATTCACTTTCTCAAGTAAAAAAATCAACTTTTTAAGTCCTCCGCTATACGATCCCGTGTGTTTTCGGGAGTTACGAACATTTAACCTCAAACCCATGGCCAGGAATGCTAAGTAGGAATTGGATTGGCCTACCAATGAAAAACCCTGCAAGTATTCAGAATGCTTTGAGGAACATAAATGTTTGACAGTGTATATCGACGGTGTAAGTCCGCAATCACATATCTTGATTGCAGAGCCTGAAAATCTCCGCCTTCATGTTTTTTTTTTTAAAAGGAGAACAAAGTGACATCGTTCCCTGCAGTTTGTGCAGAATTTTCTTCACGCAGAGAAGAAAACTCACGGCAGTTTTAAAGAATTGCCGTTGAGTAGTTTCCCGTTGAAAAAATGAAGTGTGACAGGAAGTCTGCGACGTGGCAAACCAAGTTGTGTGATTGCCAACTTACACCGTCAATATGCTACTCTTTGGCAATACAACTCAGATGCTGAGATGGTAGGAGAAAAAAGGATAGGAAATTATGGGAATGATCCATCAGATTCCAATATTTGCTCAACTAGATCATTTCAAAAGTAATTTCAACAGCAACTATCCAAGTGCTATAACTTAGTTGGGTACAACTTTGTCAAATGATCACTTCATAATTCATGATTAGATCAAAGTATCAGGTGCATTCCACCTGTCAACTTGCTATGATTTCTTAAACTTCTTCTATCAGTACAGAGTTATCTTTGAAACTGTGGTACTAGCGAAAAAGGAAAATAAGGGTACGGGTAAAGAACGAAGGAAAAGAAACCTGGAACTAGTGACTGGAGTACACTCATCACATGTAGAGACAAAAGCCAAGTATTACGTACAGCACCTCTTTTCAATGGTACCGGCTGATTGCATGTACGAACCTGGTGAATGGTGCTGAATAGGAGCCAAAGCTGACCAGAGATTGGATTCGTCTCAACCTGCGATGAATGAGGTCTAGGAAAGTTCTCACAAATCTAGGAGCTTAAATGATGAATGATAAGGAGACTTCTGTTCGATGAACATTGCTACAGTCCAACAACTACGCACTGGGGAGTGGCAATAATTGACAGAAGATCATGACAACATGGGTTAGTTCTACTTCTGAGCATGATAGGTTGGTCGGGACAAACGCATGAGTTGCTCCAAGTGCGCCACTATAAAGCAAGCTGGCCATTCCTGACCTTGAACTTGGCCTAGGCTTATAATTGGGCCTAACGCTTGTTTTGGATAAAAATCCTTATTCGTCGACTGAAAGCAACTTGCTGGTTGCTTGTGCAGAACATTCACTGGAAGTCTGGAGTGTTGCTGCCAGAAAAGTCTGCGCAAAGAAGACACCTGACCAACACCCAAACTATTGGTGATAACTACCCTTTACCAATCATTCACAAATTGGGCTTTACTCATACAAACCTAACTGATAAGTCCTCAAATATGTGACTAAAACCCGTTAGAGCGTTAGGCGGCTTCATTACGTAAAGTTACGCGTGGTGCCAAGAGTCCGCGTGTTCCACGCTAGGCTAGGCTGGCCCACGCGTATGGGAAGCGGAAAATCCACTCAAATTTCAAGTGCTTCAGGCTGAAAAGCTCCTTCGAAAGGTCAAGCTGGCCACGAAAATCGAAGGCATGAGCTTATCACAGACAGCGGTGGGAACGTCGTAATTTGGAGAATGCAAACTGCTCACCGGCCTGCAAATTCTCTGGGGGGCTGAGGAATTCGCTTTCCGGTGTCGGGCGAGCGAGCGGCGTGTGATAAAACTAGCCAGCGCCATTGGTCTCGCCATAGGAAGCCTAAAATTGATGACGACAATCCTGACCTCGTTACCGAAATCAATCGAGTAAATCCGGGGAAAATCACCGAAATCGGCAAGAAAAAAGTGCCGAAAACTCTTCCCGAACGGGAAAATCCACCCTGATGACGAGAAAACTAACCCAGATCGCCGAGAACAGCCGTGGGAAACGGCACCGACCACGACCTTTCCACGAGAATCACAGCACCCCCTCGATATTGATTCGTACGACTGCACTAAAAAAAACTAGGTTGCGGGAATTGCACTTTCAAACACTGAGCTTTTTCGGCGGGATAAGAGACACACTGGACCGAGGGGATGAGGGAAAACTAAGGAGATGTGATAGGGTGTGCCTTACCTTTGTATCTTTGGTCTTCCGGGATTTGCTTGGAGATGTGCTGCACTTGCAATAACAATTTTACACGTTCGATGGGGGCGACGGCGGTTTTGGAAACGGCGGCAGAGATACCTCCGGCGAGGAAGTCCTTACCGAAAGCGACGGGGTCGAAACCGCCGGCGGCAGCTAACATAACGGCATCGGATGGTTGCGACATGATTAAAAGGGATATCGGGCTTTGCTGAACTTGGGTGACTTTCCGCGGTGGGGCCTGAGTTTCGAAGAACGACTGATTCGCTGCGAGCTAGGTACTGCCTCGCGTTCGGCTGTCTTCGCCCCGCGAGCCGAACCCCCCCGAAGTCGCCCAACCGCGCGAACAGCGAAAATAGCTTCCCGACCCGGTTAAACTTTGCGCCCTTGACCGATATCTCCGCTCGATTCATCCGTTTAGCTTTTTACTGCCAAAAGAATACCTCAGAGCTTTACTATGGATCGGTTAATTTCATTATCTTGTACCGAGGACTCTTTGACAACACCCGCGCCCAGGTGTACACAGTGGAATGACATAGGGTCGTTGTGGGCAAAGGAAGAAAAAAATTCCTCACAAATCAGGGGGTGAAGCATTTTAGGGGCGCGTGGTCGAAAATCCTGCCACGTGAAAGGTCAGATTTACCGTTTCGTCGCTGAAAGGCCGCTTGTTATCCTTGCTGTACCCCCGCCCCCACCATCTACTTACACTTGCTCTTAAGATTCCATCCTTCGAGTAGGTACTTATTACTTGGTGGTAAAAAAAAAAGTGAAAAACCTTTGGAGTGATCCTAAGGGTCTTTTCCACACGTTTAAATCTTACTCTTTTCTACAAAATCACAATAGTATCGCGTCATGTGTAACGCTTACGGCGCGAAGCGCTTCAAGTAGTTGGACCATGGAACAGCGGGGGGCTACCCCCCCCCCCCCCTGAAAACAAGCTCCAATCAAATTAAGAGACAAAATATGGAGGTCAAACTAGAAATTGCCACTCCTCAAAAATTTGCAGCTGATTATGTGCGTCTGGAGCGGTCTTTCGCGGAATTTTTTGAGGTAGACATGTTCGTTATTATAGGGTTTTTTTTCTCTATTTATATCGTAAAGGTACTAGCTTAAAAAACCTTTGACTTTAACGAGTAAGAGTAACACGGGGTACCCCACCATTTCCTCTTTAAGGTCAAATAATTACCTAAACTTGTGATGGTGAATGCGTTCAGGGAGTGCGAGACAAAATGCGCCTTCAAAATCAGGCGATGCAACATCGCTTACTGAGTGCATAAGTCAGCTGACATCGTTTTCGATATCAATCGGTCCACAGAGTAGCTGACCAATAGATACCTCTTTACAGTATTTTTATTCCTCTTCCTATCAGAATTATGAAAATTAAATAATTAAATATTATTAATTAATTAATAATTAATTATTAAATAATTCTGCTCACGCAGATGATGATGCTTTTTACTGATCATGATGAAAACAGGGATGGGGTAGTTCAACGGTTTGATGATGCTAAGAGTTTAGCACACCTGCTGACCAAAAGGGAACATGTCATCGCATGACATCATTCGATTTCAGCTCGCGGCCTAGTTTTATGTGTAGTTCAGTCGATAAAATCGCCTTTTCTAGTCTACCGTATGAAGATTTGAAACAGCGCGGCTTAGAGGAACATAAATGATACTTGAAATCGATTTCACCGGGCGAATGCATTGAAAAGGACGGAGGAAATTCAAAACGATTGAAAAATGTTTCAGGTCCAGAGGGTGAGGTGCCCCCCCTCCCCCCTGTTCAATTTAAACTACCCCTCCAGCAGGCCGCATCTCACAGGGACGGCGCGGGAGGGTAGGTATGTGTTGCCTACCTGGCGATTATTTTTTACTCCCACTCTGATACTGCCGTGCTAAGGAAGAACAACGTATGAACATTCGACAGTTGCCAAATTTCACCGAATAAGTATAACATGAATTTTTGAGTTTTGTGATGTGTATTATTCCTTGAAATTTTCAGATATTTTAGATTAAATTGTGTAGGTACGAAATTGACTGAAAAAATTGAAGAAAAATATCGAACAATTTCCTTGAAAATTCGTATTGTATCGGAGGAAATTTGGCAACGCTTGAAGGCTCATACGCTGTTTTTCCTTAGCACGGCAGAATAGCCGAATAATTTTTCATAGGGGATGCCGCAGGGGCTGAAACTTTTAAGAGGAGTGAAATTTGGGAAACCGGGATCAGTTTGGGGATCTTGCACCGAAATATTTTTTAAAATCGGGTTGCCCTGGAACGCAATTTTCGCTCGTTTTCGTCGTATCACCACTTACAACAAAAAAAATCCTCGAAAACTGAANGGGGGGGGGGGGGGGGGGAAGCTACCCCTTTCCTTCCTTCACCCTACTCACGTGCCGTCACTGCAAACAGTCGACGGGACTTGAAAGTCAGGACTTAAAAAACGGAAGCTGAAAATTAAAATCTGGCAAACATGGATGGAGCAAGGTGGTATGCCCTTTAGAAAATGTGATGGATTTCTCTAGATAAGACCGAGCTTTCTTGGCTTTCTCATGATGCGACAGCATAAGTACAAAAATGCGCATCGCGATTGCGGGGTCTCAAAATCTCTGCCCCTTCATTATTTTTAAAAAGAGGCCAAACTGACAGAAATTTTGCAACGCCGCATTTCAAGATACGCGTCTATGCAGCTTCAACGTTGATTTAGTATTGGTAGATCATTTAAGGTATTATTCCTTTGGGGTTCGACGTGAAATGCTTCTCAAAGTTGCACCCTCATCCAGTGGCGTATTTCCGGGGGGGGGGGGGGGGGACAGAGCCCCAAAAGAAGAGAAAAAAATAATAGAAATCAAGGGGATGATCGAAGGAAGAAAAATCGGGTGGAGAGAGAACACAACGATAGGTAGTTTCGTCGACTTTGGCACCATAATAATTTGATCAACATTTTTTAATTTAAGAAATTGGAGACTGGAGAGTCTACCTATCTCATTTTTTCTTCAGGAAGTTGGTGGATTTTTTCCATCTCATACCTAAAACAAAACATTCCATTTAGCCTTGTATTAACGGTTTTCCATTTTTTCAAGGTCTTTTTGGGGGAAAATAGAGGAAAGCTTCTCATCATTTTCCATGACTGAAATTGTTAAAAAGTGGGGTTTACAGGTTTAAAATCATGAAAATTTTCCAGGAGGGGGGGGGCAGCCCGGACCTCCCGGTGGGAGGTTTGTCCCCCCCCCCCCTACCCCCCCCCCCCCCCAGAACATTATCCTGCATACGCCACTGTCCTCATCAGCCCCTCAAAAATCCGGAAAAAAAATCTGAAGGTCAAAATTCTAGCTGCGCGCAGTGAGGCATTGAGAGACGAAGGAAAATCTCTATTTCTAGTCGCGGCTCGCGACACCTCGGAACTTTGAATAGTGGCAATGATCTTTTGTCAGCTGGCCAGAGGAAAAATTAAGGTCGAATTGAGAAGTTATGCGAACGTTTGTTTATACACAATCGATTCGTCACGGTGTTGCATTCTGAGTTTTATTTCGGGGGAGTCTCATGGGCAGGCCACTAGCGGGCACTTCCCGCCCGCCCCCTTAAACACGAATAAAAATAAAAGAAAAATAAAAAAATCATCGATTGACAATTGGATGCCATTATACCGCGCAAATAATGCTGCACACATTCAGTTCTTGTTTATCTAATCCAGTCCAAATATGAAATATTCCAATTTAATTTTGTTAGTGTTAGAAAAAGTTCTCGAGAAAAAAAGAGAAAACATATTTGAAATTCAGGCAACACATTGCAATCATTGCCGAATCATCATCATCATTAATATAAACTTCGAAGGATTCAGACTTTCAGCGATTCTGCCTTTTTCTATTTCACTCGAGAGGTTGCCAGATTGTGTGATAAATATGAATATGTTACAAGGATTTGAATTGGGAAAAGTGCTAAAAAAGCAACTTATCTGGCAACAATTGAGTCCGGGAGGGTCGAAAGGCTGCCTTCTTGGGAAAACCCATGATTCAGCCGGAAATGTCATTAAAACAATTGTTTCCGTTTGAAGCATCAATTTTATACTAGGGGAAAGCTATTTTAAAATAATAATTGTAAATGGATACCTACAGATGCTACAGAAAGGGAAAAAGGAAAAGGAAAAGAAATGAAATGAGGATATGATTACTAATATGCAATCAGAGAGAATAAAACGAAAACATCAGAGAAATTTATATGCGATGAAAGTATAAGAAAAAAACACGAGTGGGCTCATTGCGATTCGGAACTCGAACTATACTATCGTTGAGCAGTTTTTAGACCCCCACACCACCGATAATCTTCTTAAGAGGTAAAGATGAACTTTTGCCACCTCAGCAAGTCAAATCGCGGAAGAAGATCCATAGATTGTCTTTTTCCGTCACCCGATGGGATGACGTCCCAGTCAAATGCGTTTTTGAAGAAATGATCGATCCCCATCATCGCTTCATCTCCACACATCTATTCATGTGCAAATGATGGCACGCTCCGGCAACAAGGTTCTGTGACGAAATAATTTTTGCCTCCAGAGTCTTCAAAATGTATACATCTTAGTGATCAAATGTCCAATCACTGAGTAAATGGCTCGCGGAGCGAGCCGAATGTCACTCGCTACGCGAGTGATCGGGGGTCCAGGGGGCGCAGCCCCTTGGCTGGCCGTGGCGGACGCGCAAAGCGCGTCCAGAACGGCTAGTAATCTCATAAAATTGTTCATATAAATTCAATTGAGCGTTTTCCTATGGAGCTTAGGCGAATAAATGACGATTTTCAAATAATGCTGCACATTATTGAATTGTTATGCCATGCCGTTGCTCCTCTATAATTAATTCACAAGTCACATGTATATAGTGTGAAGGAAGTTCTGCCGAAATTTTTAGAAACAATGAAAGTTCACCATCCTTCGATTCATTAAGATTGCCGAGGGGATTTTGAAACACCAAAAGGGATACACGTTTTTGCAATATCACCATCATTGTGAGGTCTCCCCCCTCAGCGGACAAGGTGATGAGACTCACTTTAATTGGTGCATTCATTGAAAATAAAGTTTGATTCGCTTAAAAATATCGGTTGAATATGTATTCATCCTGAAGAATTTATCATTCCAAAGATTGCCATGACCTACCGATAGTTCTTTGATTTTTACTTCGATTTTCGCTCATTAATGTTGCGCACAGAAATATTCCCGCAATTATTTTGAATTGCTCAAAGCAGAGAGAGACAGCAGTGCCAAACCTAGAAACCAAATACGTTTCGATTGACACTTGAATAGCATTCAATTTCAAACCTTTTCAAACCCACTCACGATTTTTCAAGAGAAATTTCCAATCTAAGATATTTATAAAAGAGCAGAAAACATAGCATAAACAACTGAGAAAAATCTCCTGAATTTTAATATAATATGACAGCGATTTGTATCTGGTGCTATTTGACAATTTACTTTGGTCACTTGGAGCCATGAAATGTAAACAAACTTAAGCACCTAACCTCAAAAATGAAGCGTGTGATTCGTGGACTCGTGCATTCTTGATTTATGTGCTTTCCTTTTTTGTCTTTCGAAAATAGCAAGATATTTAAATTTCAATGACAGTACCAATTTCTACAAATTCCACCCTATTTTTAGCCGATTTTTGACTCCTACAATTTTGTGCAGCTGTAGACCATTCAAAATTTCATATTTCGACTTTTTTCGAATGAAACCTTGATCCAAGGAACCTACATTAATTCTTACAACGTGATTTGTATTTTTTGTTCACTAAGTCAGTTTTATGAGTGCTACAACACATGTGATATGAGGGAGCAACCATGAAGACTCTTCATATTCTACCTGGCACCCATTCTGTTGATTCCATTCAGAAGTTGGTGGTGCCAGAAAGACTGAATAAACTTTTCTCCGCTCATTTCAATAAATGCGTACTTGTGAAACGGACAGACCAACAGTTTACCATAAACTTAGTATATCCAAGACTTAATTTGAATTCAGAATATTGTATGCATGATGATAGCGTGATTTATTCGGAACTGTCTGTGAACAATTTCCCAATTTACGATGAGTCTCATGTCTGTCCTGAAATTACTGAAGATCAGATCATACCTTTAACTAATACGCAGCAAACTACCAAGGTTACTGTCTCCGTAATACTGGAAAACATATTTCAGCTTGCTGAGTGGAAATCGAAACAGACTCAATTTACACCTATCATAATCAATATTTTAAGATTGTTCATTTTCTCTGCGAACTCGACCATCTTGTTGAGGAATCTTAATTTACCATTGGGCATTCATAGCATCATAATTCATGATACAGATTATGAAGCAAAAATTCCATGCTTTTTGTCTTCCAATTGTAATGTTTCTATCCATAAACTAATCAGCCGCACAACTTACCTGCAACTGGTTCAAAATCCAGAAAGAATAATTGTTGGTGGTCTTCTAAGTCAAGTTGAATCTGTTAAAAAAATAATCGAAGCGCAGAAAAATTACAGGCAGAAATGGAGCACTCAATCAAATCTAAAGCTCTCAAAGCAGGTTAGAATATTTTAGTTATTTAAGAACAACTATTTTATTCACAAGGTAGTGAAGACATGATCCTAGCCATGGTGTGACATCACACTGCATCTGCAGTGCATTCTCTCTATTATAAATATCTTAGATAAGTTCTGCTCAATGATAAAATTAAGTAGCTGCAGTAATTTGACATTACTAAGTTAGCACAATAAATCTCACTACCTTATGCTTAGGCCCTGATGACTACCCGCACTTGTTCTTTTTAACTATTTTATTAGTTAAGTAAATCTGCTTTCTGGAATGTATTGCAGATCTTTGTATAACAAACAGTCAGTTCCCTTCCGGTTTTTGTCCTTCTTGCGTTTCATTAAGATCAAAAGTTTACCATGTCACCTATTTGAACACAGCAGGTTATTGCTAACAGCCTTGGCAATTGGTTTTCCCTCTTCCAAATATGTTTTTTTGACTGTACCAAAATTATCTGACATAATTTTCTTGAAAATATTTTAATTCGTTGAAGTGAGCCATTATTATCCACGTATAGATGATGCACTTTTCACATCTCTCAGTTTCGCTATCATCAAGCTTTATAATGATTATCGATTTTTTGTCCCAGATTTTATTGATTGGAGCTTCTGGATCTGGAAAGACAACTCTAGTTCAAAATCTTGCGCAGGCAACTCGCTCAACGATAGTCATCCTTGATGGATCAGAAGTCATGAACGCTAGTCCTGGAGAGTCAGAAAACTTTTTACGGAGTAAGTTTCAAGAAGCTGAGCTACTTTTGGAGGAAAATGAAAGTGGTAAGTCTGTAGCTGAATTCATTCACCAAAAAGTTACCCTGGTTCTTGCACTTTTTTAGAATTTAGGTACCTTCTTTATTCTACCTCAGTGGTGTGAAAGTGTGGCAACAGGGGTCAGCAAAAACTTGATTGGAGATTCATATGAAAAAAAAACAAAGCTTAGAGGGGCCCAAGAAGAGTTAGTGGTTAAACTATCTCTTCATTGTAGTTACAGCTCCTGAGGTTTTGCTGCTAAACGTGACACCTGCATTTCTGAAGCCAGTTTTTGAAGCGCTCTTAAAGAAAATTATGTACAAAGGTCGTTGAATGCGATAAATTGAAAACATTTATGCTGACAGGAACAATGTGCTTGTGCACTCAAACCCTAAGCAAACTGTTCTTTTTTTATTTAATTCATTCTCACCTAGTCCTTCTAGTTTAAAAATATCATTGGTGAAACTCCCAAACTATATATCTCAGTTTGCAAAGTTGTAGACCTTCTGTCATACTTTATTTTTTAAATGTAAAACTCCTCAACGTTAACTCCTAAAACCCTCCGTGACTTTTCCTCTCTGTGTGAAGAATATTTCTATCAAAATTTCAAGTAATCAGGGTGGCTAGCAACCAGGAAAACAGGGAAAAGTCAGAGAGTGCAACTCAGCTGGGAAAGTCAGGGAATTTTCTGTGGAACCGGGCTTTCCGTAAAAATTGGCTCCACGACCAGCCAGCTGATAGCGTTGTTGTGCCAACGTTTCGACCACATTAATTAAATGCCCTTACATTATCGCAAAAAAGTCAGGGAATTTCATTAGTAGAATTCAGAGAAAAGTCGGGGAATGATAAAATGAAATCTTGCCAGCCACCCTGAGTAATAATGTTGAGTCAATTTTCCTCTAAAAATTGAAAAATGCGCAGAGGTTTTGAATCGCCAGGAACAAGATACAAGGTTTAAAAGTTTCACTGTTGAATGTCCAATAAAGCATCCTGAATGTGCACAGGAGTATTCAGCTTAAATTACAAACCAAAATAATTGAAAAAGTGCAAGTATTCATAGCGGAATATTTAAAATTAGGTAAAACTACATTATTTGGTGTCTATCTAAAAGATAAAAATGGTATCCTTTGTTCTGCTGAGAGCCCAGTTGTCATTCCTCTGCGAAAAAAGCTTTGGAACCGCTATTGTACGTCACAGTATTTAATGACATTTATGCTGGAACAACCGTATCATCAAAAACATAGAAATTATCGTCTCATTCTGATTTACAGGCGTTTGCATTTTACTTATCAAGCAAGTTGAATGTTTGGCTCGCAAACGAAAATCTGAAACACCAGCGCACTCTTTACGCTGTATGTCTCAACTTTTAAGCTTACTGGACTCGGCAAACAATGTACCTGGATTGCTCATCATTGCAACAACTGATAAAGTATTTGAATTAGACTCAGCACTCAGGCGCTCAGGACGACTAGAAACTGAGGTTAGTGGATAAATTTTATTTTTGTTCAATTCCAGTTTTTTTTTTAAAAATATTTTTTAATCCCGTAGTCCTTCAAACTGAAAGTAAGCAATGTTTAGTTCATGTCACACAACTATCTCACCTCTCTTAATTTTAGAGGAAAAAACATATCGATGGCCACATATCTCTTTTTGCAACATTGCAGGTGCCCTGTCATACATTATTTTTTATATTTTCTGTAAAGTTTGCTTGCTTCTCTTTGAAAAAATGAAATAGGAGCAGATATTCCGATACACTGCCAATGAGATTCGTGGTTTTGCCCTGTGGCCATTGGCATTGCACTGAATTTTTATGGATTGTAAGGTGGGTACACAGCACAAAGAAATGATCTGAAGAGAGGCAAGCATAAGTTGTGGAGTTTTAAGTAATTGTAATGCTCTAATAACTTTAAGCTCTTTGAAAAGATAATCCTTGAACATCCACTAATATTTGAAACAACTTCTTTCAATTTTTTATCTCCATCAAAATGTTTGCAATCAATGAATAAGTATTCAAAATAAATTTTTAAATCAGACCACAGCAAGTATTTATTTCGTCACATTACATCCTTCATATTTTGGTTTGTGTTTCATTAGCTTTACTTTGGAATTCCATCGGAAAAGGACCGTGCTGCTATCTTGTCTATTTATTTGGAACAATTAAATCTACAGGATGTTCCATTAATCAGTAATAAAATAGCAGCGATAACACCGGGCTATCTAGGTGTTGATATTGTCCTGATCGTCAAAACATTTCATCTCAGGACTGCTAGCATTCAAGACTCTTTGAGCGCAGAGTGAGTAAATTGTCAACAATACTTATAGCGGTGGAGAGAGCTGTAATGTGGCATTTTTAATAAACAATAAAAATTTCATTTAGCACCATATTCTCAATAAGCTAATATTGGTGTTTGACCAAATATTATCTGTGTTAATATGTGGGACTAGTTCGAAGGAAGTACTTAGATGTTACATTCCGGTCAAATTGGACTGATCTTGAATTGTTGTTGTATTTTTGCGGGGCTGGGCCCTGAAAATTTCAGTATTTCTAAGTTTCTAAAAAAATTGTAATTTTAACTCAGATTTATTTTCCAAAGTTGGTGTAAAATTTCTGCCGGTAATTTTTGGTTTTTATCACTACCATTTTAGAAACCCTCATCCACTAATTTTTATTTATTGAAAGTAAAATATTCAGAAATTTGAAAGTGGTGATAGTATTTTTTGTCCCACCCTGTAAATTAAATGTTTGGAAATCTAACAGTAATTTCAATTTTTATAACTTTCCCCCGTTTGTCCTCTATCTCAGACCTCCTGAAAAAACCTGTGAACAGGTTTGTTTTACCTCTCATTATGATCCAAGTCAATTAAAGTTTGAATATTTCCATTATCATCGCCATGGAACTAGCAATCATATAATATTATCTGATGATATTACTGGTTATTTGTTGGAATTTCAGGAAGGTTATAGATATTTTGACAGATATCGTGAGCAAGCATCAGGCATCTGCATTGAAATCAGGTCTTGGAGTTGTATCTACAGAGCCTCTACCCATGTCAGAACTTGGTGGGCTGGATTCTATAAAAAAGACACTGAAAATTTATCTTGAATGGCCCTTATTGTATCCAGAGAAGTTTCAAAAATTGAATATACCGCCACCGAAGGGCAAGTAGTCCAGTTACTTTTTCTTTGCTTTTTGCTCTTTTTGGGCAAGTAAATCTAATTTTTAACCCTTTTTACGATATTCTGCCTTCTTTGTTAGTTCTCATATCTTATGAAGAAGGTAAATTTCTGAAGTTGTTAAACTTTCAGACTAGAGGTAGTTGTGTGTAAAACATTCATATGTTGAGGAACAGAAAACAATCTCTTCTTCATACGTCTCTTTCTACAGACTCGTACAAACTACCCTGAAGAGCTCATCAAGATTAGTGATTTTTTTCTCTCAGTAATAAAAAGTCTAGCAGTTTACAACCAAGTAAGCAGGAAACAAATGAGGTGTTATCACGTTTCACCCTAAGGTGGAGCAATTGTAGTGTTGAATTCTTTTTTGTGACAGAAATTAGGATGTTGGGACTACCAGGAGAATGAGTTCTGAGATTGCAAGGAAAAGTCGCAGAAACTTATGTTGCTGACTGACACCTGACAGGAATTGCGTCCATAGGTGGGCTGACGGAGACTCAAAAAGTATCTTCAAGAGTGATTAATTTAATGTTGTAAGTGACCCGCTGTTTTGATATTGAGAGCATTCAAACAATTTTGATGGGTTATAAAATGTATTCCAGTATAATAGAATTATAGTGCAGACTGTATGCACATCACTCATTCCATATGAAATTCTGCTAATGTTTATGATGAATTTTGTAGGAATTCTACTTTATGGTCCCCCTGGTTGTGCGAAAACAAGTCTGGCCCGTGCATTAGCCAGCTCCACAAAGATGACTTTCTTTTCTGTATCGGCTGCAGAGCTCTACTCTCCATTCGTTGGCGCAACTGAAAAGAGTATTGTTGAATTATTTCACCGGGCTCGAATCGGTGCTCCTAGCATTGTGTTCATTGATGAAATTGGTAAGTTATTTTTTTGTCCAAACTCGACCATGGCTCTACAACCAATCTGCCACTGACATCTTAAATTTTGTGAAATATCTATGCTCACTGGCCTTTTCGTCAATTTTGATAAGTGTAATTTTTTAACAAGTCCTTCACTCACTGAACCGTACGTTTCATTCAGCATCGGATAAATACTGAATTTTAATGGTCTTGTCAGAAGAGAAAATTGTCCTTGCTATCAAGAGTCTCTTGTGTCTAAAACTTAACACATCTGGAGACAACTGGGTAAAAAAAAGGAAATATCTTGTACTATACTTCCACAATGGTGCAACAGTCTATCAATTTTACAAAGAAAAAAATAAGTGCACTCCAACAAAAATCTGAGAATCAAAAGTTTTATTACAAAATCCAAACAATTGGCGTCTTTATATTTTCCCGACAAAATACAATAGTTTGATCCTAGGGGCTGTTCAAGTAGGTATTACGTGAGCTGCTAAAAGGGGAGGAGGGAGTCTAAGTTTGCCTCATAGGGTCTTTAGAGGTGGGAAAGGGGTCAAGCCCAGTCTTACGTAAGTCTCTTACTTTAAAAGAAATAATATTCTCCAATAAAAACCATTTTTTGAACTTTTTTCAAGATTTTTCTGTTATTTTCTGAAAACTTAAAAGAGAGGTCAGGCCAGGAATACCTAATTCAAAAGGGCGGGGAGCCTGAGAGGTTGTTTTAGGGGTGCCTTACAAGGGGGGGGAAGAGGCCAAAAAGTTGGCCAAAATGAATTACATAATTCTGATACGGTCTTTTGGGTATTAAGTATATTTGTCTTCTGTTTTACAGATGCTTTGGTTGGAAAAAGAGGAGATAAAAATGAGGGTGTACATGAAAGAGTTCTTTCGACATTTCTGACTGAAATGGATGGTGTGGGAACTCGTCTTGATTCTCTTCCGCTCAAGTTAACTGATGATCAGGTAAGACTGTAGCGAACTTAATTTGGACGTATTTATGCTGAAAGGAAAAATGTGCAAGTGGAAAAATGGGGTGTGCTCGTGGTGAGCCGGAGAAGGAACAATGTAAAAGTGGATGTAGTTCCTTTTGAGAAAATGGAAAAGTGGGATTTTACATTGAATCCAAAGGAACTGAGTGCCAACTCGTGAGCCGTGGACATGTGACAAGAGCCTTGTGCACAGGGCTCATGAGTTAAAGCGCCGGGACGACGAGCTTGTCGTTGTCGAGCCCGGTCATCACCGCTGACGTCACTGGCACTTTAAAATTCCCATTCATTCTTATGGCCCTTAACTGAAGAGCACACCTCATCTTTCCAGTTGCGTATAGTTCCATTTAGCGTAAATACGTCCATTTTTAGGTCCTTCTGACTTGAAAGTGTAGCTTTGGCTTTTTTTTGCGGACAAACTGGCCTCTTTTACGAAGTTGATACATTCTAATTACACAAGGAGAATTTACAGTGCTGAAGTGAAAAGTATTTAATTTAAGCATGGATGTGGAGTTTGGCAGCTGAAAAAATGGACACAGGAAAGATTAAGAGCGATTGTGATGGATTTTCAAAGATCGACAGGAAAAACGGCTCAAGTCCATAATGATAGTTTGTCAGATCATAGGAAATTATATTATATCTGACATTATGACCAAATAGCTAGTCTGGTATTGGTATATTAATGGTATGACAGAAGAAAGTCTGTCAGAGAAGATACTTGAATGGGCTCTTCCTGGGAGGAGGTGAAGGGGATGCCCAGTAAAAGGGTGGCAACAAGAAATAAGGGAGTGCCCACCTCCTTAAGGACTGCAGGAGAATATAGCTGTTGCAGTTAGGTTTTGCAAAGCGCTGTGAAAGCGGCTCTTGTGTATGTATACATTTTCATCAATGTTACTAAATTTTGCAGGATATTTCCAACTGTTGTAACACGTCTTTCTAATAATATTCTTTTTTTCTCTTTATGAGCTCAAATTTCTAAGCACATTTTTGTTTCTTTGCACCCCAAATTTCTTTTTCATTTCAGGTCGTAAGCAGTCCTGGTGTTGTCATAATGGCTGCTACAAATCGGCCAGACAAGCTTGATGCTGCCATTCTACGCCCTGGTCGTTTGAATAAGCTAATCTACGTTCCTCCTCCTGATGAAGCAAGCAGACTGAAAATTCTTGAGGCTGTCACCAAAAAGTAAGATTTATCCCTGATTTATTATCAGTTACCTTTTTTGCAAGGCCTCTGTGAGCATTTCCTGTGATTTATTTGGAGGTATCATTGAAAAACATCTTAAAAGGTGACAGCTTAGAAGATATGTAAATAGAAAATTCAAACACATCAGTACATAATTAGTATTTTTATCACCCAATGCTATTTATAAATTTTTCATCGTTTTTCTGTCTTCAAATTTGCTGGCCTGTATAGAATTTTATGTTTAATAACCTTAATAACTCTTGACAAAAATATCATCGTAAAATGTTGAAAAATGCTTATCTCGGATTGCGACGTTGTAAATCTCCGTTTATGTTTAATTTTCTTGAAGAAAAACAAACCAACAGTCTCTACTGAAATATTCCATGAATTTTTCTTACTCATTCTAGAAAAAATCACACAAAATTGCAAGAGATCCTTGAAGGAAGTATAACCCATAAGGAGATTTTTTAACGTTGCGATTGAGATCCACATTTTTCGCATCCAGCTTACTCAGTCTGAAACCACAACGCGTATGTTCTAATTGGGCTACATTTTGCAATGAGGAAATTAAATTTCAGAATCATTTTTATACACAACTTATGTGTTATTTGTTTTTCCGTGTAGATAGTTTCTTTTATGAATAACCAGAAATTGCAAATCCCTATTGCAAAATGTAGTCAAATCGTTCGTTATCATTTTCATCGTATTTTTTTCTGCTCAGGCGAGCCTGATTTAAATATATGACCAATATAATAAGTCCGAAGGTTATTAATCAACAAGAGCCAATCTAAAAAAAATCTTAAGGTTTCCCATATTTTCAAAGATTTTTTACAAATTTTTAATGAAGTGCAGTGCTAGAGTTCTTCTTTTTGGTTTTACAGGGTACCTCTATCAACAGATGTCAACCTTGCATTAATCGCTAACATCACAGAGTTGTTCTCAGGAGCTGATCTCATCAATCTTGTTAGAGAGGTAAGAATCCCGGTCTTGTTTGATTATCCATTGATTTTTATCGATATTGTTCAAGTTGAGTATGCAGCTATGTTTAAGAATGATTGCCATCTGATGGATTGTATTACTATGTTCAGCGGTTTCCAAGTTTCAATGTATTCAGGCGAAGAATTGAAATAGATTGGTCTTGTAAAATCCGTAAATACCAATCAAAAAATTCACTGTAAGAAGTTAATTTTACCCCTAACATAACATCTCATTGAATTTGGCAGCATAATCGAGAAAAATGACAGTGTGAGATACACTTTGATTTGCAACATCAAAGATTTCTTGTTGTATTTTATTTTTATGACGGAAGTATTTAAAGTAGGGAGCATTTTTTTTTGTCCCATTAAAATTTATCTCCGAAAATTATGTTTCCTGTAGCCAACAAAGAAATAAAATAACCACAGAAATTTTGAAAAACTCCAAATTCAGTTGTGCTTTTTTTGACCTTTTGGGGTTATTTTCAAATTACGCAACGCCGTGAGGGGAAAGGGTAGGAGCATCGAGAAGAACGTTACACGACTTTAGTCATTAGTGTCAAAGGATAGGCACCCTCTTCACAAAAGCGTTACAAGGGGGAGGAGGTTCAAAAATGCCTAAAAAGTGTGTTACACAATTTACGAATGCTCCCTTTACTATGTAACAGCACTACGTACTTTTTGAAGCAACAAGAGTTTCTTGATCTTAGGGGATATAGGAATATTGATCGACTGTTTTGGTTTTGGGCATGTATGCTGCAATTTTCTTTTGAATCATCGGAAATCAAATTCCTCACGAATGACTCGGAGAAGGTGACCTGCAGCAATGATTCCTAATTTTCATGTGTGTAATTTGCACCTGCGTATAGAAAATTTCCTGACAAGGATTTCCTTTCAAGGAGTTCTTAAACTAATGACGTGCTTGGTATTTGATTGTTTTTTATTTAAATCTCCTTGTCTGAAATTTTTTTGTGTGGATATTTCAGGCTGGTCTCACTGCTTTGACGGCTGATGGAATGACTGTCAGTGAACTAACGCAGGCACATTTTCTTACAGCTCTGAAAAATGCGCGTCCATCGTTGAGTGCTGATCAAATTAAATTTTACACCAATTTTACTTTTAACCAGTAAAATCATTGAATAATGAATCGTGATAAAATCACGGCATTTAAATGAACTCACTGACAAATGAATGTCTAAGATCTAGGTGGATTGATCATTGGCAGATCATTGAATGTCTTGATTTGGAAAGAGTCCCTATTGGATTTTAGTGTATTCTGAGGAAAATCTTTGTCCATTTTTCTCTTTTTCAGATTGACTTCATTAGGGGCCTTTTTGTTCATTAATCAGATTTTTTGCTCTGTGATATATAGTATTTTGTTAAGTTTATACCCCGAAAATATGTGGAGGGAATAAGTTTTTTATTTTACTTTTTTCAACAAAATATATTTCTGCAAGAGAGTACTCATTAAGTTTTTTTCACCTAAATGTAAGTCCTAAATTTTGTTAGCAGTTAACAATCGCCTGACAATCATACCACCTTGACTGAACCAGAATCAGCCCAACTACATCCAAGGTTGCCTAATTTTCTCTGATGTTCTGTTTTTTACCAGAAAACTCAGTAATACTGAAACTTGACATTTTGGGGTTATTCTTCATAATCTGTGGAAATTCACAGAGAGTTTAGAAACCTTAAGTCATTTAATTCTTTGTTAAAAAATGAAACACTTTCTCTGCCTATTAGGCAACATAAAGATGGAGTCAGGCTGATAACAACTAAATACAAGTTTAAAGACTATACTGCAACAGTGTAAGTAGTCCGACCTGTAAGTACATGATACGCTTACTTCTTGCAGCATCTGTGGAAAACCAGAGGGTTGAGTGTCAATAATTCAGAGCTAGTGTTACATAATTTAAAGAATGCTAGATTATTACGATGCCATTAAATAGTATTAAGTAATTTATGGATGGCCTCTAAAAATTGGCACCATTCTGTAGAGAAGAAATAAACAAGACTTGAGGTGAGGAACACAAATCTTTAATAAAATTAGCATAGAAACAAAGCCAATTTCATCAATGACAGAGCAGGAGAAAACAAAACATGGGATAAAATAAGATAAGAGTGTAAATCAGCAGTCTTGGAGGGAATTAAAACTAGAAAAATTAAGTAATTGCGAAGCAATAGTCAAATAAATCAACATTATGTAAGTCAATGAAGGTGAATGGAAGAGATATCAAACATTAATAAAGATCTGAAAATTTAGTGGCAACTTACGTTGCTCTCAAACAAATTGAAACAAGGTTTCATCATCATACTATTGGTAAAACAAATTTTTTGGCAGTAAGGGTCAACAGATTCATTCGATCTAAATCTAAGTATAACTTTGTAGAATATAAGGACACAGGCTGCAAATTCAATCGCAGAGAGGATGGATCCTATCAGTTAGAAAAATCTTATGTGTGTATTTGCCTTAACACATTATTTGATAATACTCTTACGGCAACAACTACTGATGTACCTACAGTAAAATTATGTGAGGTCTTACGGTAGTATGAACTTCCACTTCCTTTGTGGGCTGTGGTGTTCGAGTAAATAGGAAAAACCAGTTGTAAACAAGTGCTAAGATCTAACATGATGTATAATAATCTTGTATCTCCGTGAGTGTATCTAGTTATTTTAAAGATAAAGTCAAGTAGTTGATCAGTGATTTCAAAATAAAAGGAGGTTAATGAATTGAATGAGGAACGTAAGTTCAGGGTGTCAACAGACTGGAGGGGAAAAAGTCTTTCACTTTTCTAGGTTTTTTCACCCCAAAATGACAGAAATTTCTTGACTTTGTAAATTGAAAACATACAAACATTCATACTAAAAGAGTCTCTTTATCCTTTTCGAAAATATATCCAAAATTTTCATTCTGCAAAAAATTCCCTGATTTTTTTTTTCACTGGATTCTTTCCAGTTGGTCTGCCATGCTGACACCCAGATAATAAATCTAAGAAATTGATAGTTCGTTTAAAAAACCAGAGGAGATTGATTAATTGAATAAGGAACGTAAGTCAGACATAAAGGAAACAGTAGACTCCAAGTCTGAGAGAGGAAAAAGTGTCATTGCGGGAAAAATCCATTTGCCTTCGACATACTCTGCGAAAGCATTCAATCCTCATAATTTGATCAGAATATATTTTTCATTTTTAATAGAACTTTATATATAAGTTCAATAATAATTTTTCAGAATTTCAGAAAATTCCCAACAGAATCTTAAATCCTAATCTTAATTCATTTAACGATGGGATAAAGTCCACACGTACAGTCTTCTTGAAAGAGACTAATGTTTAATTACAAAGAAAGTAATAGGATACCAGTCAAAATAACAATAAATTAAGACAAATTTTCAGGACACCCAGGCTAGCTGCAAGATCTTAAACACTAAGCGTGATGCGATACTCCGTGAAGAAAGTAACAATTTAAAAATTAGGTTAAATCCACAATAAAATTGAAATTGGCAAATAAATTTAAAAAACTTTCGCTACAATTTGCTAGACCCAATATCTGAAAATATGAGATTGTTCCTTTATGAGCCTTTAAAGACTAATCTTGACCATTTCACTGTGGATCAAACTTCATTTCTAATTAATGCAAAATAAAATACGTAACTATTTGAACCGAATTGAACAGAAACATACTAAGTTGCCTTATGTTTGAACTTCGAAAAGAAATTTGAAGTCTCATACCTCCGTAAAACTCAATGTTACAGGAAACGTTAAAGACTATTTTCATGTTCAAAACATCTAGTCTCAATTTCAAACTTTAGACACAAAAACATCTACCATTATTTGAATTTAAAACTACAGTAATACCCTGATTATCTAAACACCGATCACCCAACACATCAGTCATGTAACGTTAAAATTGAGTTTCTGATCAAAAACAAGTCAGCTGACGCAACAAAAGTAGATTTTTTGGACAAAATTTGAATATTTTTGTTGTTTTTCTTTCCAACTAGAATACTATGTTTCTCAAATACAGTAAATAGCCAGCCGAGTTTGTGCTTATTAGTTCCAAACAGAGCCTGAAATGGCATTTATTCAGTCTCTTTTCGGTGGTTTCGATTATTCAACTTGTTTAGTAGCCGACACAGCCTGCGCCACAAATCGTCGGATAATCAAGGTAATACTGTAATCCTAACTCATCCCCCCTCCCCCAAAAGAAAATATGACTAAAAGTTTCTGTTAAACTCAGTTCGACTGAAAGATCGCAAACTTTGAGCATTATGAGCAATTCCCTGTGATTCAACATTGAGCTAGAGAGCAAATAAGTCATTGATTAAAGGAAGTACAAAGAAAATAACATGAAGTACTTGAAATAGTGTAGAAGATAATAAATAGCTAATAAATTAAAAAAATCAATACATATAAATCAAAAAGAATAAGCCTAAATTATAAAAATCATTAACAATTGAATCAGGTCACGAGTGCCTTGAAACAATTGCAATACATTTAACTCTTCAGATCTTTGTGAGCCGGACACATAAATAAATGGTCGACTAAAGAACAATATAATATCAATCGATCGTACAGATGGTTATTCAGTTAAAAATCAAATTGAAAGTAAATTTTTTAAGTCCGTTCATAAAATGAAAATATGCTCGCTGGTAAAAGAACATCTGAAAGGATGAGAATGCTTTCAACAGACGGAAAAGTCAACTGAACTGAGGACTTACGTTTCTTGTGGAAAAGTAAATTTTTGGTGAATGTTTTTTTGTTGAATTTTTCTGCCATCGAGTATAGATAGATAGTACGAGAGTAAGATGATTTTATTCTCTCTAATCAAACTGAAAATCAGTTTAAGTAAGTCTTCGAGAATACCAATTCAGGCAGGGTTATGACATGTTAGTATTTGAGGAGTTCACAAGTCCTCTGATACAGATGTTTGTCCAATCTATGAGCTTAGTCCAATTTTTTCCTGTTTTGAGAGAAGAGAGGGGGGGGGCAGGTTTAGATTATTAGTTCATCTTTTTTAAAGAATCCATGGGTCAGAGATTGATACAATCATCGGCGTCAGAGAAATATTTAAACAAACTGATAAAAATTAAAATAGATACTACATAAAATTATTAATCTATGAGTGAAATATCGTCAAAGAGGACAAGAAAAGTAACCCAGAAAAATACTTCATAAATAAATACTGAAAAGAGCAAAGCGACTAGATGTTGTTGAGAAAAAATTATACTGGGATAACCTAAAGATAACTGAACGATATCAACGGAATGACATTCACCAGACTTGCTTGTACACGGATGACTGACAAAGCAAAGATCAAAAACTAATCAGAATGGAGAAGAACTCATTAGACCTAGGTACAAGAAATTAAGAAAACAGCTAAGACTATCGAATACTGTCATGAGGCGCATTTTTCATAGGTTTAAAATTTCACTAAGATTTAAAAAATAATCTAATTACAATCAATCTAACAGTTTATTGTACAGTTGGAGGCAGAGTCACGAAGCATAACCGATCCACACTACAGTAGCTCTCTCAAGATAAAAACGCAGTGAAATCGGACGTTTTTGTAGAGAGATTTGAACGTCTTTCCTTTCCAAAGGTGATAATTTTGAACGATGACAAAGTGCATTGATTCCTTTTCTACACATGCTGCGTTTTCCTAGAATTTGCTATGTTACAGCTCTGTACCATGCCTTTCTTGAGCTGTGGAATGAAGCTATTCTCTCAAAGCATTGCTCCATGTACTTTGCCGAAACCAGGTAAAAGGCCAATCTTTGACATAGACGCACTCTTCATAGATAGTAGGAAAACACAAGGTTTAAACCATTTGTGTACATGTTTAAATAATGAACTCTTCAAAATTCAAGTTTTGGACAAATGTTGAGAAATCAGCTGAAAAATACAGTACAAGCTTAACAATAGTTCTGTTAATTACCTTTAGACTTACAAGAAAAGTTACAACTTGTTAATTTGAGGGGGAGAAACTTAGCTTTCCCGGCAGATTTAAAAATTTGGCACATGATTTAAAACTATTTAAAAAAACCGCAAACGAAGCACTTTCATCTGAGATTATAACATCTGAAATTAACTAAAAACTTCTTGATAACAACAGCGGAGGGAAAATTTCAGATACAAAAATTGATGGTCTTTAAAATCATAGTCATAGTTTAGACCTCAGCAGGAATAAAAGGCCAGTATGTGCACTCTATTTTTCAACCAATTTTTCCAATGCATCCCAAAAGCACACCTGAGAGAGCCAAAATTTCAGTTTCAAAATAAAAAACATAAAAATGACAAGGACAACTCTGAAAAAGACTCCCTTGAGGTTCTTTCAATAATCTTTGTTATAACATACTTCCACCACCATTGTCTATTATTTTCATAATGTCGATGTGAGGTTAAAAATCTTGTAAATAGTGTTATTGCACTGCAGAATTTTTTTTTTTGGAACACTTGAATGCAAAATAAATTTCAAACTGCATATATTGAATTGCATAAGGATATTGGAGCTGTTTAAATTAACTGTGTATGATTTTTTGGGGTCTAACCACCCATTCTTGGGGTTCAATCTTGGGTTTCAAAGAATGTATACGGAATTTCCAAACAGGCTACATTTTCCTATTGGAATCAAATGAACTCTGAAACAAGAAGCTCTTCCGTATGTAATTTCTTTTTCAATTTTTCTTTGCTGACGAAGTCAAAGACAAAAGAGGCTACAGAAAATTTCTTCAAATATGAAAGTTTTAGGTAAAAAGTTTGCATTCATTCTAATGCGAATCCAGCTTGAACTTTCCTCTGAAGACTTTTTCAAAGTCATCGATGACTTTTCATGCGCTGATAGGGGAAAACTGAATTTCCACTTTGCTACAAAACCTTGCAAGAGTATCATTCTTTTAACAAAAAAAATTAATTGATAACATGTCCCAAACTAATTTCGACTGCACAGCTCTTAGAGCAAGGACACTTTTAGTCTGCCCAGGCGGCAGGGACCCACATCGGCTCTGTGTCGACTCTGTGGACGGAGTAGAGGAGCTGTTCGAATGCTGATGACAAATCATCGTTGAGTATACTCTCGTCGAAAAGGTGACCGTACAAGAATTCAATGCGCTCAGAGCTGCGAACGATTTCTTGGAATTCTTCATCCTGCGAAAAAACAGAAAATTATAAATATATTGAAAAAGAGAAAGTAAAGTATAAGAAAAAGTTATGTTATGTTTCATGCCTTTCATTCAGAGTGACAAATTTTTCTGCATTACAAAATTCTTTGACTTTTCGGTGATTTTGAACATGAAAATGTCTGAACCTTGCCTGGCTTTTGAACTTTTTTTTGGGAGGGGGGGGGGAGGGGTCACAATTTTTCAAAAAAATTTGTTCACGAAAATTTTTTAGCAGTAGTCTCGTATATTGAAAAAAAATGCAATGTTTTGCCAGGAAGAACAAATTTCAAGGTTCTGAAGCAGAATGAACTGACTTTTCCATGACTAATCAGGGTTGACTAGAATTCCCTAACTTTTCCAAGATTCCCCCACTTTCTGAAGAACTCGCTACCCTGTTATTATTCCTGCAATTTGTGATTTTTTCGACACTTCACGAGCAAATAACTCTAATATGTCATACTGAACATTTTCATTTTACTAACTGTAAGTAAAGGTGCACAAAATCCAAGATTTTCTTTGGCTTGGCTGTAAGTACGATAGCCAGCAGGGACAAAGTGAGCCGTTTTGCATAAAATGGATGGTTACACTATAGCATGCTTGGGGCTTGATCAATAAAATTATTTGGAAAAAACAGCATGGTCCGCTCGAGTATTATAAAAATCATATCCTCCTTTCCTTAGTAGAAGGGATTTGAAAGAACTTTTCAAAAAAACTTTATTAATTCTGTTAGATTTTAAGAACAAAATTTAGCACACTATGGATAGAGCAAATTTCAACGGCACATTCATAGCTTTTCGACTAGCTGACAGGCTCAGGTAATTGCTTCATGTTTGTGAATTTTCTTTCGGCTGCGAACCAGAGGAGAAAACCAAGTTACAACAACTGCTGCCTGCATGTGCCAGGAAAAGGCAGCCATAGGTAGCAGCCCTTGTCACTAACGAGCAACTGGCGAGGGTGTGAAATCTTTGAAAAACACTGATATTGTGCAAAGTTTATTAAACGTCAAACACCCCCTCCAATTATTTATTTTTGTTTCTTTCCTTCGTCGAATTCTATATTTCAGATAAAATGGAAATATATCATAAGCCAATAGTAAAACAAGTAAAACCTGGGTAATTAATGCTGTGATGTAGACTTTTCAAAATAGACCAGGGCTCAATGCTGACTGAAATTATAAATTTCAGCATAGGGTTCTGCTACTGGTTTAGATTGAGGGCCCCCAACTTACCTCCTAAATGGTTACTAAGAAGACTTGATGAAAGTTTCTTTTACTTACTGTGAATCCTCTTGAGTTGAACTCATCAAACGTAGAACGAGCATGGACAGAAGACCGTGTCTCCTTCAGAACTTCAAATGATGGAGGTTTTATGTAGATTATGTAGGGTTTTAGCTGGGGAGTCTGGAGCATTTTCAAAGCCTTTAATAGAAATGCAAATTTTAGTTTTTGAAGGTTACACACTATTCCACTAAGCTTTTATTGAATGTAGGCTTACTGTTTTAGAGGCGACACTTTCTGACCAATAAAAAAAATTTAAATAGTTACTAATAACATAGCTGATTTTTTATACTTCTACCGCTTAGAGATAAAAAATCTTCTAATATAGGGATACTTTGGTTGAAATCAACCTAGCAATAATATTCATCCGGTTTTTGAGTCATGGTTTTTTTCTGTAATTCTAACTGTCATGAAAAGAGTCATGGAACAAACATGGGAGGAAAACCAAAGGATTCTGTGCCGAGTAAAATTCGTTATTGTCTGAAATAATGCCCTTTGTGACCTCTTGAGCATGATTAGCTTTTATATAAGGCATTTAATGTGCCAGTTCCAAGAAAGGCAGGGGCTGAGAAGTTAATTTTACAGGGTTCTGACATGTATTTTCTAGTGAAGATGTTGCAATATCTGATTGGTGATCAACAGTAATTCCTCTGAACGGTAACAGCATTCATGTATGCTTACATATGCGCTATGTTCGCATACACGCACATAACAACAGCCCCACATTACCATAGAAAAACATTAGTAGAGCCGCTAAAAAATTCACTTTTCCTAGCATTTGCAAATACAAAGTTCGACTTTAAAAAGCTTGGCAAGCTTAGGGGGTCATTAAGAATATTATATCATATAAAATCAAAATCAAGCCAGCGCAAAATGTTTTCGAATACCATTCAAGGTCCTCAGAGTTGCTCAAACATTTAAATCTACTAAAAATACAGCACCGCATTCACTGCTTGCTTTGAAAGTAAAACTAAATAAAATGATTTTGTTTTATTTACATTAAAATATGAGGAGTCAGGATCGTACAAATATGAAAATCATTGATAATGATATTTGAGATTCAGCAAGGCGTTTTTATATTGAAGTTTTAAAGGATTTTAAGTATCTACAGATCTTGTAGAAATGTGTACAAGAATTTCCCATGTTTCTACATTTCTACCTGCCACCTACAAGAATTTTAAAGTTCAGTTGACCAACCTGATAGTGAGGTGTCAATACGCAAATAAGACCAGCATTGATGATAGAAACAACACTCTCTGCAGAGGTCCCATAAAAGTTGCCTTTGTACTCTCCAAACTCAATGAAATTTCCACTTTCTATTTGCTCCTGCATTTCATCTCGCGTTACAAAGAAGTACTCTTTTCCGTTGATTTCACCAGGTCTGATAGGCCTCGATGTATCTGTAAGAAGAGTATAAGGAAAACTGATGGAAAAGAAAATATCGACGGCGTAAGTCCGTACTCACATAATTTGCTTTGCAACGCTGCAGACTTCCTGTCATACTATTTTTTTAAACGGAAAGCTACTCAATGGCAATTCTTTAAAACTGCCGCGAATTTCCTTCTCTGTGTGAAGAAAATTATGCATAAACTGCAAGGAATGATGTCAATTTGTTCTCCTTTAAAAAAATAACATAGAGGTGGAAATTTTCAGACACCGCAAACGAGATATGTGATTGCGGACTTACGCTGTCGATATGTGTTTTGAACATTGAAATTCATGTATATAATGGAGAAAGTTATTATGCTTTGTCCAATCATCAAATTTCTATGTCCAATATTATTGGAGATTTCACTTCATGAGGGACATGGTGAATGAGGGCAGATGTAATTTTGTAACGATTTCTTCTACCTTCTTCTTAACTGAGCATCAAAATGACCAGTAGTGCAACTGGACATTGTTTCTCAGAATGAAAGCAAGTGACTTCAACTATTGCCAAACTTCGTTGAAAAAGTTATTTTTTGGTGCGAGAACAGTTGTACAGTGTTGCAATTATTTCAAAATTTTTTGTAAATTTCCTCCTTGACACAGAGCAAATTCTTTTAAATATTTAAGAGAATTGGTTCAGTAGCTCCTTTGTGAAATGTTACATTATTAAATGAAATTTGGCAACAGTTGATGACAAGATGTTCCCTTCAGAGAAGCTCAGCCTTCATTCATTACTAATTGTTAACAAACATAAACATACTAGGGTTTGTCCTCCGCTGCTAGATATACATCTAACATGAACTTGGCATCCTCACAAGGTTGTTTTCGGTCTTAATTTGAAAGTTTAAACATCAGAGTTATCTGGCGATCATAATCAATTAATGGGTCAGTTATGCTAGTCATAGAATCGTTTTGAGATGGTTTAAGCTCACAGATTAGTGAGAAATAATAAGATCTGTTTAAACACCAAGTTTCTATGTCCAATATTAAGGGAGATATTGCTCATCAAAAAACACAGTGCATGACATTATTCACCATGGTATCCATAAATCTACATTGTTCAGATTTATGGAGTCTGCAAATTTATCATAATGGAATCAATAGGATTTGGCTCTCAAGACAAGATTCTAAAATTCCTGTAACTGAAACAATGCTAAAAAAATTATGTTGATAGAATGTAACATTTTACACGAGGATCCATAGTTTGATTTCTAATTTTAAGATAATAGATTTAAGTAGCCACTTACAAGGAACTGGGGTACCAAATTTTTCAGGATCAGTAGCGATGAGCCTCCTCTTTAATTCATTCCTGCCAACTCCTGGTGGGCCAATAAGTACGATGGGGCGGTGGAACCCAGGCCTGGGGTACAACTTGATCACCTCTTCGTACGTGGCAATCTCTTCCCGGTCGAAGTCATCTGCTTCTGCAGTGTCATACATAATTTTTTTAGTACGCACTGAGCATTTAGGAGTTTCACAATCGGAAAATCCTAATGATGTTTTGGCAAACTCGGAGCAAAGTCCCAAAAGCTGGACTTTCTCCGGGTTTCCGAGACAGCTTCCGTTTGCAAGAAATTCTGGAAATTATGATATTGCAGAAAGGAGTTAGTTTAGCACAAGGTTGCAGGAGAAAATAACAAGGAATTTAAACCAAAACAGGGTGAAATAGGTATATGAGATAATTTGGGGTTTTCAGGTGTTAAAATGATACCTAGTTGATCAAAGAGAACAGGGTTTGTAAGCAAAATCTATGTTCCACAACCTTAGGTAACCAAAGTTTACCTCATTTTTAGGTGTTCGACCGAATCATCTCTCACACAGAGGATTATTGACACTACTGAAGAGGATTAGGATCCAAAAGATTTGAATGCTATAAAAAGAGTCGGTAACAAATAAGTTTGGATCAATCGCCTTCATCAAAATTCCTAAGATCTTACTGTTGCTGTCCGTGAATTATAAGAGGCATTTAGAAAGGCAGGAGGGGTTTAAGGCTCAAATACCTCAAAAAGGGTGAGAGGGGGACTTTACACCAGAGGAGGGTTGAAAAATTAGAGAAAGTGCCTCATGCACTTTCAATCTCATGCACAATTCATAAATGACCCCTCCATTTTAAAGAGTGATTGAAGTTTATCCATGGATATTTATAAGAATGTTCGAAAAATCTAACGAAATTATCTCAGCGGTAAAAAATGATAGTCTATTAAACCTACAGGGATGAAAGAACTCAAAAATACTATGTGCAACATTCAGAGTTACAGTAAGGGGTGAACAAGGGTTGCAGGGTGAATTAAAGTGCAGCAAATATCATCTGCATTACCTAAATTGAGCTGCTTACTGTGGAAACAATATCATCAAACTCCGAAGAATTCGGAGAATCAAACCACTCAGACCAGACTGCAAAACTCAGCTGACCTTTTATCTACGAAATCTTCATCAGGTTGAAAGATCAGGCAAAGAAAAGCAAACTTCAAAAGCAAATATGTAGATGGCTTGAAGCATAGTAGGATCTTGATAGCATAAATTTTGAGATAATACTTTCGTACAATAAGATGCCAACAGCATCAATCCGAAATTAGAAATCAGATCTACGTGATGAAATCTGCAGAACTGGCGAAACTGAACCCATAACATTCAAAATTTTTCTTTAGGGCCTCGGAAAATAGAATTGAAGACTTGAACACCATACTTTTGGCTTGAAATACTCTTATATTCTCCCTTAAAGGTGTTTTGTTATTTTTTGAAATAGCTTTGTTTTAGTTACTTTTTTTCTCTCGCTTTGAGAAGAGTAATCTTTAGTGTTTTTAGTGGGGGGGGGGGGGGAGTTGTCAAACACAGGATAAATCTTTCAAAACGAGATATCATTACCTTTCAGTCAAAGGAGCATAAGCGCCAATTGTGCTTGGGCACTATGTTGACTAATTTCGCTCGTCCAATTTTTTGGGCAAAATCTATTGAACAAAACTGAAAAATATTACCTAATATTTCTTTCATCATTAAAATGAATGCCTGGGATTTTTATGAAAGTATAAGCAAAAATTTCAAAGAAAAAATTAAAATAGTATTGGGGCGTCCGGCGACATAGTTTTTAAGCGTACATGGTGCTTATGATACTTCAGCTGAAAGGAACCGATATCTACTTTATTTTGGAACTTGCCCATTTAGATAGACTATTTAACTCTAACAATTCTTCATCGTTTAGAATAATTAAAAGTGAAACACTTAATACATGAATGGTGTTAGCCTGCTGAGCGTTTCATATCTTCAATATGGAAACATTTGAGTAAGAAACAAGCCGAAAAGTCAAGATTTGCTGGTGAAAGCAAATCCATTGAACCAATAATTTCTAAGGTACCTTTGTTAGGATCCTTTCCCATTAAGGATCTTTCATGGATTATTCTCCTTTCCTGAAGTGTCCGACTTGGAATTAAGCCAGCTCTGATGTTTTTGTCCCCTTCGATACGTGCTTGCCACCTGTTAAAAATCAGATCATGATTAATTGGGGATACCTTTTGAGCCAAAACTGCAATAATGAGATAATTATTCACCTTTATTTTTCCTTATCCCACTTCTTGGTTTTCAAAGTGTTTTTGGGGTTTGAAAACCCAGCATGAACTATTAAATACACCCTCAAGCCTATATGCAAAAATAGTTATTTTCGATTTGAATCATTATTGATCACTAACGGGGAATAAAGTCGTGCAGGAGTATGGAGCTTGAAGAGCATTGCATGCCCCTGCGTTGAATAGGGGAAACAAAATCTTTTCCCTCAAATCCTCTTCAGTTGCTTGCCTCTTGTTAATGGCTTGCTCAGTCTTGACACTTGCTACAAACTTAATTGAAACTTGCAAGGGGAGTCACTGTTACCTACAGCAGGTGATCGTTCAATACAAGATGGAGCACTGTACATTGCCACTAGTGTGTGCCTCAAACCGGTGGGAGAAATTAAAATTAATGTTGACCTAAGCCGATGGCTTGCTCTTCGTTTCGATGCAAACAAAGTAATCGGTTCATTCAGGGTACGAGCAAAAGATAGTCTGAAAGAGAGATTTTCTCTTATGCCAAGAGTCATCACATTGAAAAATTCCCCTAAGAAGTGGCGTTATCTTTTGGAAGGAGTGAGACTGAGAGGTAAAAACAAATAGTCCCAACTTAGGCTCTCACTTGTTCTCCCCTCTTTGCTAAAAACAGGAAGTAAAAAAAAATAACAGGTTGAAGGCAGGGATGAGCACATAAACCAAAAAACTAACCGAGAGTTTTCAATTATCTCAAATCGAGGCTAGAGCCAAAGTTTAAGGTCTGAGAGTCAACAGTTGGACCAGTTTCACATTGATTCTTTAGAATTCCGTCAGCAAAGTGATTTTTTTTTAAATATTTTGGTTTTCTAAGTTCATCAAAAGCTCTTTTGATCATAAATTGTAAATGAGAGAGAGTATCAGCTAAAACAGGTTGTGAATCTAATTTGGTGTTTGAAACTTGGACCGATTTGGAACCGGCTCTAGGAGGGGAACCAAACCTGTTCTGGCTTGACAACCAACCTGAGAACCAAGATAGGTTTTGAATGTACTTCATGAGTTGGAACCGCCTTCGGAACATTTTTCAAAAATCAGCTCTGATTCTCATTTCTAGTTGGAGAATAAAATAACATTGAAAAAATTAGAAAACTACAAAAATATGGACATTCATACCAGTAAGGATCATTTTGACTAACGATGTGAAGAATAGTGCCCTTGGTGAAGTCCAAACCAGCCTCCCGACAAGGAATATACTGATCTTTGGAGGCATTATAATCAAACAAGGCCCTAACACGGACTTTACTTTCGCGGCTTGAATCCTTGCTTTCTGCTGGAATCAGTTTGAACGTTATTGTTCCTTCCGAATTTTGCTGTAAAAAAAATTATGATAGAAGTGGAATTAGATTTCTTTAAAACTTTTCAGATGTTTTCAATAAGTTAATCTCTAGACTCAATCCTTGAAAATTCAATAAATCGATGGCGAAGAAGTGCATATCTTGGTTTGCAACAATGCAGACTAACTGTCATTCTTTATTTTCTGCATGGAAAATTACAAAACGTTATTTTCTTAAGGCTATGGTAATTTTTCTTCTCCATGTCAAGAATTTCCTACGAAAATTTCAAGTCATAATGATGGTTTGGTCTCCTTTTAAAAAATAAAATAGGAACGGAGATTTACAGACACTACAACCGAGATGCTCATTTTTGTGGTTTCACCATCAAAATTTTATTTTACGCTCATCAAGGTGTTATACTAAAAACGTATATAGTTACACTTACAAAGGAATTTACAAAAGAACATTCATAGCTCACAAGGAAAATCTTATGAGATAAATTTCCTGTAAGGTTTTGCACCTGTTTTGCTTTTGAATACATTTTCTTATAAAATTTTATACTTCTCAACAACATAGATATTTATATTTATACTTTATATTGATCTTAATTTCATTCAAATAAAAGAAAGATATTGAAAAATAAAATGTAGTCTCAGCTTAAACACATTTTACTCCTTTTTTTTGCTCCAATGGGCTGATAATATTGAAAATTTGTCTGAGGCTATTTTGCTATGCATGAGACAACAGTTAAGACTAACCAAAATTTTGAGGACTTCATTGGGGACTTTGCCCTCAACATTGATTCCATTAACTTCGCAAACTTCATCGCCAACATGAATAAGACCGGACCTGTCAGCTGCTCCTCCATGCATGACCCGGGCGATGACAATTTTACCAGTATCTTCATCCGTTTTAATTGTTGCGCCCTGCAAATAAACGGTTAAGCTCAGAAATAAGGTCAACAGGAAGAGCAACATTAAGATGGAACTACCTCTTCGTTGGCTATCAGTCAATGAATAGCTAAAATCAGGATTCATTTTGGCGATTTCCTTTAAACGTCAGTAAAATATTAATCTAGGTACATCCTCACTACCACTACCAATACACTCTACTGTGACTTGCTGTGAAAAATAGAGTTGAGAATCCTTTAAAGGACAGAAATATGTGCAGGAGATGTTTTGATCTCTCTTTAATTATATCAATCATCAATCTACTGCTCTAAGAAATTTTTCCCGCAATTTCATGGTTAATTAACTCAATGTTTCATATTAAGGCAGAGGAACATCCAGTTTAAACTCAAGTTCCAATATTCAGGAGATGACTGAAATTGACCCCACTCTCAGCCAGGTGAAAATCAATGACCAACGAATGAGTAGTTCCACCTAAAGGCTCTGAATTTTAAAAGTTATTTCCTTGTGAGAGGTAAGTATTGCAGCGCCAACCCACTGGGTCGCACTGATTGGCCTTCACTACAATTTTACTTAACTAAATACATATTTTTGGAAAATAATATGTAAAATCAAGCACCTAGATAAATCCCTCTGCATGTGGTCAAAGAGACAAGTCGAAAATTATTGTGAGTGGGTATTAAGGAGGAAATTTCAGGATTTTATGGTAGCGTAAATTGGTACCACTGCTGTTACCGCAGATTGTAATATGTTGCAAAGGAAACGAATAAGTACATCTTTCTGCACTGCACTTACCACAATTGGCTCAGCATTTAAAGCACCATCCTGAGGTTAGCAATTTAACAATAAAATACACACAAATTTAAAATAAATTTTCCTTCGACAAAATCTAATATGTATCTATATGACAATGGACCAATAGACAAGGTGCAAATTTCAGCAATATTGTAAATGTTTTTGCATCAAAATTTCAAGTAGAACATGATTAGTGCAATGAAAATCAGTGGAAGTAACTTCTAGCCAAGATATTACCGTTTTTAAATGCGTAAATTAAAACTTCCTGCTTATGAAATAGCCGTAATCCACTTGAGTTTAGTTGCACAATAAATACTACCATATCAATTCTTGCAGTATGAAAATGATTGTTTGGTCTTGATAAAAACAGAGAGACTTTTGTTTAAAAATGCCCCAAGTAGATATGACTGGTGTGCTTGGCGTTATTCGAATATTAAGGAAGTTTTGTAGTATGATAATCCACACATATGGTAAGATTCGGACCTCTGAGTGGAGGGAGTTGTTTTCCTTGGAGGTAAATTTGCTTTGCACCAAATTAAAGTAAGATATTAAAAATATGTGGTACAAGAAAATAGTGCAATAGTATACTGAATTTCAAACACACTGTGACAAATGAAACATCAATACAAGCAGTAGAAGTACTGCAAAGATAAACCCAAAACTTGGAAATATTGAAATTTAGAGGTTTATTTACCATAGGTTCATTGCTCTTTACTAGTTGCACAATTTTTATTGTTTCCTCATTATCATCAACTTCTTGGGGAATTTCAGGTAATCGAGGAAAGTAGTCCTTTTGAGCTACAGCATCATGTGCGCAGAGAAGACCCTGGAACAAACAGTTAAATATTTGAACTGATAATCCTGTCATTACTAGCTTGGACAGAAAAAAAAAAACCCCCGGCAAGATCCAGTAAGAGCCATTCAGGGGTGCAAAAACTTCGTGCCATGCAATCGGAAGAATAGGAACAGGAGTTTCTTCATAAAAACGGGACAAAACAAGATAACCCTGAAAAAGGTACATTATTTCAGCAGTGGAAAAGTCGGATTGAGTAGAGGTTTTTTTTGTCTTCTCTACAAGGAGAAGCGATAATATGACATTATCTTCTCTTATGCATTCAATAAAGGAGCGATGTAGATTCTGGTAGTTTCTGATATAAAACTTCCAATGAATCTTCACAATTTCGATAACATACTATTTAGAGTTAATGCTGTTACTTGTAATGGATCAGTTTCTTGCACTGACTAATACGCTATGATACTTTTCAAAGACACAGGCTGTGTATCAGGGCAACAAAATGGCAGATCTAGTCTCTAGATGACCGAGAATCACTACACGCAATGAACAGTGCTGGTCATTGAACTCTGGTCCATTAGGTGAATCCTGTTGAGGGTAAAGGTTTTTGTCAATTGATCACTTAGGTCTGCAAATCTTAATTGCCAGATCATGCGGATTGAATTAAAGGTGTAATTCAAGGAAAAGTAAGAAAATCACCTGCATGTGAGGCCTCTGCAAAAGGAAGAAAAGCTCCTTGCTATCTTCGCTTAGATTAATGCGAGGCAAAATAACTTCTAAAACTTCCAGAGCAATCTGCATTGAACTAGACAGGATTGGATTGCATTTTTCATCTTTGCCACCTTCCAGGATCTTGTTGTGCACCTGAACTAGTGCGTGGAGCTCTTTGGACTGAAGGAGATTGCTTAAAAATGAAAATTCTTCATCGGAGTTTGTCAGTTCTTGTTTCGACTCTTCCAAAGAGGCCAGTAGGTTCGATAAAGCTATTAAGATTTCAGAAAAGAAAAGTTAGAGGATGTCAAAACAGGGTGTCTAAAAACTTGGAAGATAAAATTTCCCTGACTTTTCCAGGTTTCCTCTGACAAAAATGAGTAAAATCCATGACTGTTTACGATGACTATTCTTCACCTTCTGGCCAAAGTATCAGAGGTGCTATTTGTGCTTAGGCACTATGTTTCCTGATGTCTCAGAACTGTTTTAATTTTTTCTTTAAAACTTTTGTTTTCACTTTCGTGAAAATCTCAGGGATTAATTTGAATGAAAAAATAAATATTAGGTCAAATTTTCAGGTTGTTTTTTTTATTGAATCTTCTGAAAATAAATTGAACAAGTTGACATTGGGATAGAATTTGGGATAGTTGAAATTGGTCTGTCATGGATAGAACATACTTTAGGTAGACCTGGAAATGGACAGTTCTTGACATTAGTTTCGCTTCAAATGACAACATGTAAAATTTTCTTCTTCAGTAGTCGATTATTGAATTGACTAAAATAGCAATTCTTTATTGACAATTTCTATTTAAGTCTTAAACTTGCTTTTTTCTTTTGGCTACAGAAACAGAATTTAGGTCCAACTATACGGCACGGACAAAGTAAAACCTTTAATTTAATAACTTTAAAAGAAAAGAGGAATAAAATAGAACAAAACTTACAAGGTTCCCATGTTCTATTTGCCATAGCTACAGCTGTCATTTTCAGCAGAATACAACGGTGAATAGCTAACACCACATTCTGGTTTCCAGGAGCATCTCAGAACAACTGGATGGCAAAAAAATAAAATTAAAATACACTACTTAGAATGATGCTCAGGCAAATGATTCAACTGAGTGGGTTGGTTAAGCAGTGAATCTCAGTTGGAAATGAGATCCTCAGCAGTCATAGTGGTGAATGTGAGAAGTTGATGATGTTTCAAAGATTTCGCAGGATTTGTAGTTGAAAAATTATGCAAAAGCTTAACAAACTGATTAAGTAACCTCAAAACCTGAATGGATTAGTCTTCAGTGCCTACGCACAGTAAAATAGATGACAGCACTAAAATGCTAAACATGATGGCTAAGGAGCAGAAAAAAACACACTTATTGGTGTACATTTCCGCAAGATTCACATTTGTCGACATCAGAAAATTGCAAACAAAGCTTGAATGAGACATAAGTTGAAAGTAGGAGATCAAATAGTCACAAAACAAGCAGAAAAATTTGAAAGGAGGTTAAATATTAAAATCAAGTTTTTGTTATCATGTTCAACAAATAAATGTTTTGTAGAGGTACTTAAATAAGTACAAGAAAAACATGTTACAGCATCCAAGATAGATGTGTTAGCATCAATAAAAGATATGTTAAGCTTCATGTAAAAGTTGTAAAGAGACAATTATAATAGAAAGGATTTGAGACAGTATCTGCCTGCTGACAGAGTAGAAGTACAGGAAATCATTAGCAGACGGCTTAACGAGTTTAAGTGGTGCTTCTCAGGAGAAATTTAATTGCTTGCAGAATCGTGTAAGTGGTGGCAATGGCATTGCTTGCTACACAAGAGAAGAGTTGAATTACAGCAGAAGGAGGAAAACTGTATCCAGAAAGAGGAATTACAGGAAGATGAACTATACAAACCTATTTGATCAATCAAAATCAAACTTCTCGAGTCGTTCAAAGTTAACCTAGTCCCATGGTTATTTTGAACCGTGGGGCCACTGAGATCTCTGAATGAGCGCAAGACTCACTCCACGGCAAACTACTAAAATAACAGAAATTATTTTTAATTTTGTTTCACACAATTTTCGAAGCTTTTCAGCAGGAACTCCAGAAATACTGAAAGAAGCTAAAAATAACCTAAAACTGGGCGACAGTGCTGCTCTGATAAAAGAAAATTCACGGAAATAAATCAAAACATACAATGACGTAATCAATGCATGCTAGTAAAATGTATATGCAATCTGTCAAATAAATCAAATTGACCAATTTTCAGTTACAATTACGAACATTATCGGTTCGGAAAAGGTCCTCGCATATTACCATGGTGCCTTTTTCTAAAGTTGCTCCCTAGCGATCGAGACAAAAATTGATTGAATTAAATTCCTAAAAAAAAAACTAAAAATTGTGACGATCTAGCAACCATGTTCTTGTTGTGTTTACTTTCGGGAATCCATGCGTGTTTTGTAGGTTAAATTGTGAATTCTTGTGGTTTTCTGTGCAGTGCGATTTTTTTTGGACGATCTTCACAAAAAAATAGCTCTCAGATGGGTTTTATTACTTATTTGAATTCTAATCAAAGTGGCTGCAAAAAAAGCCTGTGTCGTGATTCAGACTCATCACTGTCGAGTGAAGAACCAAAGTGAAGAACTTCTGTAGTGATAACAAAGATAATATTCAGTGTTATCAGCTAATATTTAAGTGCAAAAGTTGTGAGAGATCATCTGGAGAGTCCATCATATTTGCTATGACAATTACTGAATATGTGGCGACTTTGGGTGACAACCCATATTTTGGAGCAGGTGCTGGACTCTTTGGAATCGGTGCAGTAACTGCTATTGCACGCAAAGGATGGCAGGGTGCTCTTATATTGTTCAGGAGACACTATATGATGACTTTAGAAGTACCATGTCGTGATAAGAGTTATCACTGGCTTCTGGAATGGATCACAGCAAAAGGCGCTAAGAAAACGCAGCATCTCAGCGTTCAAACAACCTTTCAACAACACGACTCTGGGCGAATCAAAACTAACTATGACTTCATTCCCAGCACAGGAACTCACTTTTTCAATTATAAAGGGAGCTGGATTAGAGTTGAAAGAGTCCGAGAACAACACACCCTTGATATCCATGCAGGTATACCTTGGGAATCCGTCACTTTGACTGCCTTTGGAAGGAACAAAGCCTTATTCTACGGTATTTTAGAGGAGGCAAGACATATTGCCCTCGAAAAGCAAGAGGGACAAACTATAGTTTACACAGCTGTGGGCCCAGAGTGGCGTCAGTTCGGCCACCCTCGCAAAAGGAGACCCATTACCTCTGTGGTCCTCGATGAAGGGGTCTCCGAGAGGATTGTTAGTGATGTCAAAGAGTTCATCAGCAACTCTGAATGGTACAGCCAAAGAGGAGTGCCATACCGCAGAGGGTACTTATTATATGGTCCACCTGGTTGTGGAAAGTCATCTTTCATCACAGCGTTAGCTGGTGAACTTGAGTACGGAATCTGCGTCTTGAATCTAAGTGATCGCAGTCTCTCTGATGACAGACTTGGCCATCTTTTATGCACAACACCAGAAAATTGTATCATACTTTTAGAAGATATTGATGCTGCCTTTGTCAGCAGGTCAGAATCAAAACAAACAGCAACTGCATTTGAGGGACTGAATAGGGTCACACTCAGTGGCCTCCTGAATTGTTTGGATGGAGTGATTTCCGCTGAGGCAAGGATTTTATTTATGACTACAAATTACTTGGACCGGTTAGACTCGGCTCTGATCAGACCTGGTCGTGTAGATCTCAAAGAATTTGTTGGAAATTGTTCTCGTAGTCAGCTGGTTAAGATGTACAAGAACTTCTTTGGCCCACTTGATGATGAAAACGCTAATTTATTTGCTGAGGCTGTCCTGAAACTTAACAAGGTTGTCAGTCCAGCTCAAATTCAAGGATATTTTATGCTACATAAATCTGAAACCCCTAGTCAAATAGTCGAAAATGTACCAAAAATATGGGAAGAGAACCGGTAGTAGCAATTTAATCATTGATTTTTTAAAGAAAATAAAACAACATTCAACATGGATTGCATTTTGCAAAAAGGAACCACTAGCATTGCAATGTTGCTAAGATTGTGCAACTTCTTTCGTCTTGTAGGAAAGTCCGGATTATCCATTAATAGTTTCTATTTTACTCGCTAAAAACTGTAAATTTAAGACAAAAATTACCATCTAAATTTCATAGTTTTTCACGATTTCCGCAATTCTATTGCAAAAAATGAAGTTGCACAATCTTAGCATCATTGCAATGCTAGTGGTTCCTTTTTGCAAAATGCAATCCACATGAGACTTCAATGAGATATTTTACAACAAGATACACTTGCTGTAATTGAGTGAAAGCATCTTCAATAATAGTTTTCTAGAACTGTTTGAAATTTTTGAGGATCACTTCAAAACATACATCATCAAGAGGTGCCTCTGTTGTCTTATAAGGGCGGTGGAACTCCCAAACAACGTACATTGGTTAGCGACATTGCAGACCTGTCATACTTTATTTTTTAAATGGAAAACTACTCTTAAGTCAATGTTTAGAAGTTTCGTGATTTTTCTTTGCTGTGCAAAAAAAATTCTGTGAAAACCTCAAGGAATGATGTCATTTTTTTTTCTCATTCAAAGGCACAAAATGGGAGCAGAGTTTTACAACCCTCAAATGAGATGCATGGTATAAGAGGTTCCCGGTCACAAATCTTGTTATAGGCAGAGCTGATTCACAGAGAAAGAATAAAAGACTATAGCAAGTTAGCTTGCAATGCCCCTGCGCACAACTTTGATATTCAGTAAACATTAAAGTAGTGTAACAAAATTTTACCTGATATAACTTGTAAATTTTGCAGTAACGACGACACCATAGAAAAAATTTGTTACCACAAAATTGCGTAAAACCACAATGCATAGAATACCAAAAAATTCTGCGCAGACTAAATTTCAAGATTTTTTTAACCTGATGTCCCTTACCAATTAAGATGAGCTCTTAAAATGAAACTTTGATTGTGCCAATCTCGAAAAAAGCGGGTAGGAAAAGTCATCAAGTGGGAAAATGTAAATGATTGAGGAGCTACGTCAACTCAGTTCAAATAAATACTCCGTGCTTCGACTCAGCAACAGTGCCACTTCTCCGTAAATCACATGATAAATTGGTGAAAAACGCGTGTTTCAGGCTCAATTTTCTCAAGATTGGCCCCTAGACTGTTTGATTTTTCAAGCTCATCTCACTCAGAAGATTCTATGGAACAGCACATAAAAAAACTCGAAATTTAATCATTGCCGAATTAAATGGTGTTCCGTTTTTACTTGACTCTTAACGTTAACTCTTGATCACCTTCTCTTTTTTTCTTTATGAAGTCAACTTTTCATGTTCCTTATCTAAATATTTTTCAAAAGTGTTTAAAGGGAAACGTTTTGAATTTTAAGTTGCAGCTTATAACTTCTAGCCATAGGTTAAAATTCGTGACAATATCTGTCAAAACTGATGTTCACCATTATTTTTCAGTGCAACTAATTTGTTTGTTTCTTTATAATAAGAATAATAAAGGTCAAAAATTTATCTCTCCAATTTTATTGAAGTTGTTACTCACTAACTTTCTGCTATTGAATTAAATTCCCTCCATTATGTAAACATTGATTACTTACAGTTGTTGAGCTGATACGCTACTTGGTGAGTGGACCACAAGACCAAGTACAAATTTTTCTGCCAAAAGATTCCTCTTCAAAATTTTACGTAAGCAGCAATTCCCTCAACACAAATCAAGATAACTAATAACCAAGATATTAACGTTTTACATTAGCACTTTGTACGAAAAATAAAAATTTTCCAAGAAATTAGAATTTCCTGCTTACAAGGAAAACCGAAGGCCTTGTGAACCAAATGGCACACTACCAAGGTTTCAGCAGGCTTCTTAATCAAGCAGTATTCCCTCTCTGTCTTATGTTGTTCAAAGTGTAAATAACGTGAAACAGCTGAGTCAAAGCGCCGATATCACTGTTGCCAAATCTTCACACTACAGGGACTGTTATAGTAACATTTGGTATGTAATTTAACTCCAAACAAGTTTGGTTTTTTTATGAGTGAGAAGTTTGATTTGATGCATCAAGAAACTTTAATATCTTCGTTAAGAGTTACTTTTAATAATTTTCTTTTCAAAAATCATATTCCTTGTGTAATTTTGGTGAGAAAACATAGGTTATAATGCTTAAAATTGCACTTTATCTGGTGGTCCATTCCCTGACTTTTCCAGGTTGCCCTGAATTCCCTGACTTCCCAAGTTTCCCACATTACTGGAAAACCTGGTATGAAGAGAGTGGAAGCCTTATAAATTGAGGGCAAGGAGTAAATAAATAAACAAGATGTTATTAAATATGAATATTGTGTCATATTTTATCACAGTATTTTCCATTAGATATAGATACAATTTAAGTTAAAACTAATTAATAAACAACTCTGAAATTAGATAAAAATAATTGAACAATAACAAACAAACAGATGGGGATGTGAATGAATTAAAAATGCTGAGAAGGCTTTATTTACAAATCGCCTTAGAAGTTGCCTTCACACTTGGAGCACAGTTCGGACAGCGGATTTCCTTAGAACTCTCTCTTTGTATTAGACATATACTCCACTTCCATTTGTTCGGGAAATTAGTATTGCTTTCAAGCTGAGTTAAAGCACTAGTGGTATGAGGATGGAAGAGGACCATTGGAGCGAAAGAACAAGAGAAGCGAAGAGAGAACATATTACTTAAAAAGAAAAAATACTGAGTATAATTTATAAAGTGAAATCAATGAGCAACATCTGTTAAATATGATTCATTTTCAATTTTAGAAGTCTCGAATCAAATAGGCTTCATAATGGTTTTACAATACAAATGATAGAGCTTGGCAAAGTGTGCCGTGTAGCACTCACGGTAATGCGTCCCAGGTCCTTGGTGTGATCGAGCTGGTTTGCGATGTATCACCTCGAGTAAGTAAAAAATCTCCGCAGATTTTGATGCTGTAGCCAAATAAGGAATGATGGTTTCAGCGCATGAGCCTAATGAATCATTCTCGACCACCAAATTGCAAAATTTGGAGATATGACAGCAGGATTTCTCTTAGAAAAAAACATTGTAGTTGATACAAAGGTTGATAACTGCATCAAATGCAACTTTTTTCCCCAGGAAGAATCCTGCCTTCGTTTCTCTGAATTTTGCGAATTTTTTTGGTTCAGAATGATTCTTACGGGGCATGGGCAGGGGTTGTTGTTTTCTTGGCTAAATAGTCAAAATCTGCAAAAATGTATGACTTACTGTATACGATATATTGCACACCAGTTAGACTACGCCAAGAACGAGGGATGCATCACCTGCAGTAGCGATTCAGGATAAAAATTGTCACTTGCATTGACACCCACATTCTTCTGGTTGTCCTTTCAGAGAATGTACAATGCTACAGAAATTTTAAATGAATGTAACTAAGCATGTTGGTAATAATGTAAAAACCGACACAATGGGCCACAGGACAAGGCCATGATGAGTAATAAAGAGCTTCACATGCGTCTTCTTTTTAACATCTTCATCTTGTGTAGAAAACTATCTACACAACGGGAAGTTCAGAATTCAACTCCTAGATGCGATATTGACAAGTATTTTTGACATAGCTTAAATGGAAATTAGATAATAGAGATGATGTCATCCATGTTTTTGCCATTTAACCAGTGTTAATAGTAAGCTCTCATAACTTGTTTAGGAGTTTATTTCCAGACTTCAGGTCTTGTGGTTCGTTTTCTTTGTGGAATTTTGAAGAGAATATACTTTGCGAAGAGCTTTAATTCACACCTTGTCCATAAGCCCATTCTACTGAAATTTTAGCTGAAACGAGATGTAGATCATGCAATGAAAATTTCGTTTTGCACCAATTTTCTGTAAATGTATTTATTAGCACCCTTTTTCTTTCATTCAGCCTAGACATTTCTTTATTGAGGCAAAATGTAGGCAAACTGAGTTGTGATGAGTTACATACATACTTTCTTTGGATGAGAATAAGCCACTATGCCAAACTCCATCAAAGAGAATAACGTTTTCAGAAAAACAATGTCCTGATGATAAAATCGAAAAATTTAAAAGTACAGATGAGTAAACTGAATTAGAAATTAAAAAACATATACAACGTCTCTCAATAATTGAAATGTGTAGCTGGTTTTAACATTTTTTTTTAACATTCTTGACTAGCTGCCTTCCTGTGTGCCGATACACAAATAAAAGTCTGGTAAATTATCGCATTTCACCTCTGCATGAAAACTTACAATTAACCATGATGATATACTGAAAACAAGATTAAGATAAAATGCGAAACGAACTTATGCAGAAAATTTTAGCATTTAAAGACGTTGAGAAATTCGAACTGGTGTAGCAACGTCTACACAGATTTTACTCATAGGATAGACAAATCCTTTCATCTGGATGTTGATATGTAGTAAAAGTAGAAAATCATAATTCTGGATTTGTATATTTTTCACGGCTTCTTACCCTTAGCAGGAAAAATTGCTACTTCCCAAAACTGAGTTTCATTTGATGATTTACTTCTTGAGAACAATCTGTACAACTCTTAATTATTTTCAATTTCACCATGAGTAGGTCTGAGGAAATGCAATATTTTATCATAGTATGCGCACAAATATTTCGAATCAGGGATTTTAGGAGCAACAGTGAAACTAGGCAAGACCTTTTGTTTGGTCTTAAAAGGAAAAATCTCTGAGATTTGATTGCCAGGTCTTGCAGTGGTCAGCAGGGCAAAATTTGAACAGCCATAAGGCCTCTGACAAATGAACCGCGTTAAACAGAAAGGAACCAAGCCACATCAGCTATTGCCAAATTTAACAGGAGAATTTGATTTTTTACGAGAGAACGTGTGTGCGGATTCCTTTGAAAATTTTAGGGAATTTGCTTTGTACTATGGAGAAAATTCATAGATATTTGCACAAATATCCACACAACCGTTTTCATGTAAAAAATTAAATTGCCCGATTAAATTTGGCAATAGCTGATGTGGCTTGGTTCCTTTCTGTTAAACGCGATCCAAATGAGCTTAGTTAAAATTTATCTTCATTTCCAAAAAAAATCAGAAGGAGTTCCACTGTTGAACGTACCAGAGCCAAGACCAGGCAAAAGGAGACGTTTCTAACCCATGGATTTGCTGAATTATACAAAATTTCCAACATTCATCTTGAACAAATTAATTTTTGGTCACATATTAAAATAATGTTATTGGAGACGACGATTCTCTTTTTAATGGCAGACACTAAAATATTACAAGTAAAGGATTAGGAGTGCAGAGAGTGCTAATCTTTGCAAACCAAAGCGTACCGGAATGATTAGAATTTTTTACACGAGGTGATTCAAAAGTCTTGCACCACCAGCACCAGATATCACCCCTGTAACTTTTGAGCAAATTAAGATAGAGACTTGAAATTTTGTAAAAGCTCCTGGAAGAAAGGAAACGACTTTTGGGAAGCCTCATTTTGAAGGGATCAACTTAAAAAGGGGCGAAAACCCTAGGGGTTATACAGAAGTGATGCAGGGCTTTCGGATCACCTCATATTTGTTTTGAAAATTTCCAATTATTAATTGACTACATGCCTTTGACATTTAACAAGTTTCTTTGAGGTTGTAAACTGGGGAATAAGATTGTCATTAATTCTGAGAAGCCTTCTCTTAAAAAATCGTGCAATTTTGACGACTTCTCCACAAAAAAAGCCATTCCTTGTAAAGAGGAATGTTTTGGATCAAACCACTTCTCAGGTAATTTTAACTAGTGCTAAGATAGGCAAATCTGCACCCCTATCACATAAAAAAAGTAGAGAAAAGTCCAACGTTCTTGGACTTAAGAAATTACTGCGTTATTTAAGTTACTGCAAGCAAGAAAAATGCAGGATATCAAGAGGAAAAATTAAATATCTGACGCACTCCACGTGATAAAATGACAAAAAAGAAACAGTGTTTGAGTTGTGGACTTCAGAATGTGCGTAGGAGACTTACTTCTCTATGTTCCAGATTTTAAATGCCATAAAGCTCCCATAGAACTTATACCCTTTTCCAAATTACAGAAACCGTTCAATAACAAGGATAATTCAAGTTCTCAAGGTCTTCAATCTTAATTTTGAATATTTAAGAGAAGTAAACAATGGTCTCCTTAACTACAAGGTTGACCATTTCATTGACAGAGGCGAGTTTTCTGGATAAAATACTTCAATTAAAGACCCGAATGTACATCGCACAGACATAGATTTTGATCCTAAAACTAAGTTTATGATACCCTTAATTAAAAATCAATAGCAAAGGTTATTACAGATTATAAACAAACGTGAAAAATAGAAGTAAATTTAAATGCAAAAATAAAAAGTATTTTTTTCATCTAAAAAAGGGGAAATGGCTTGAAGTTATGATTTCTTCAATGGAAACCTACGTACATAAATAAGAGGGTTGGGTTTTCGTTCTTGAAGCGAAAGATCTTGTGAATATCATGAATATAAAAAAAGGGGCCATTGAAATTTTAATCTAACTATATTGTAACAGCAATTAAAAAATACTGACAAGTTTTGAGGATTATAGTAAAAAAAATTAAGTTGGATTGATAAAAGTGTAAAGGGGAAGTCAAGAGGGAAAATCAACAGTGGGCTGATCATTGAAATTGACAGATAAAGCTATAGAAAAAGAATACAAAAGAGATATGGATAGATTCTATTGGTGGAAACGGTTGGTTGTTAAAGACAAAGGAGGGAAAATGATGGACTAACTATAGGGTCCCTCAGGGAATGCCTTTAGTTAATCAATTGCCGCCTCCTTTGTCCATCGCAATCACTTGTTTCAATCAATGAGACAGCTCTGTATTTTCCAAGTTATCTTCGTCTATCGCTTTGTCTCTCAATTTCAAGAATCAGCCCGCAACTGAAATAATCACTCCATAGGAATTTGCTGCCTAGATCTCCTTCACAACCCGCTGAAAATGCTAATTGCCCTACCATTCAAAGTGAACAAACAAGATTTCAGAGCGACTGACTGTAAATATCTGGATGCCATCACTCATCATGAAGTCACTGTGACTTTTACTGTCCTACTGAGTAAGTGAAGACACAGTCAGTAAAAAAAAAACTTCACCTACTGATCTTAATATACTCAAAATTTGCAGCATCCATTGGTAGAATAATAATGCAACCATTTTAAAAACAACGTTAGGTTGAATTTATTAGTTATCATAGGTATGAGTAAAATCCATGCATGCCCTTTGACTACAATGCTCCATTGATTTTTGAAGGACGATGATTCCATTTTCTAAAACTTTTCAAGTCCTGGTCTTTACCGGAAAAGACTTGCGTTTCAGTTCTGGGTATGAAAGGAATGAGATGAGTAAGAACTGAGTAAGTACAGGTTGTTCCAAATGGCAACTTTCCCTTCACCAGAGTTTTTCTTTTAACAAAAAAGTATTCATTAAAAAAAACCATGACAAATAATTAAAAGCGACGTTCTCTCAAAAATTAACAGATATAAATAAAATAGAATACTAGCCGGTTTGAACAATAGCTTCAGAAGCAGGATGGGTGCCTACTTTAAAGGTGAAATTTAAGGGCTTTCTTTTTATCCATCGAACGCATGCATTGCAATGGATCGATCATCTGCATTTAGAGGCAGTTCAGCTTGAGGTTAGGATTGCATGTAACTGCTCGGGTACCACCACGGAAGAACGATCTAAGCCTCTTACTGGATCGCATGGATCGGGCTGGACCAAGGCAGTGGCCCAGGATAAAAAAGTAACGCGGTTCATCGCGATCCTCTGCAGTTCAGATACAAAAAAACCCTTTTGAGGGTTACTCTGTTCTTATCTACTACTAATTAATTGCTGCTACAAGATACAACAAAAATACTGGATTATGTTCGGGTTAAGTGCAAGAAGGGGTTCAGTGTTGGGTAAGAAAGTAAACTCCTAACTTACTAATGACACTCTTGAGATGGTTAAGAAGTCTCGAGGATACAATCAGCTTCCGTACTCTCGTCTTCATTCTCCTCTGCGGAAAATATTTACACGATTAGGAAATATACAAAGCACAAGGATTGAGAAAATGTAAAATAGAAGCTTATGGTAGATGATACGTAAAGCAATTCAATCATGACCACTGTTTTGTCTATACAGGATAATATGAATTTAAATTGAGAATTTGCGTCAACTCTCGGTCAAACTTATTTAAAATTAGTTTTGCGATGGGTAAATTTTGAATTTTTCTTTGGTAAAATGGCTTTAAGATGAGTATCAATTCAACTTTAAGTAGAAAAAAATCTAGACTCGAATCTACATCATGGATTCTTCTTCGTCTGCGCTGAATTAAACCACCCCATTTCTGATTTTAACTTGCGAGCATGTTTGTTTCATCCTCACATTAATTTGATGGGAAAAAATAAAAATGAAAACTCAGGAACTCTTTAGGCTCTAGAATGTGTCCTTTGATAAAATTGATTAAAGATTAAATTATGAGGCTTCGTATGTGATCGAATTTGTGGAAGGGGACCTCATCTTCCGGGAAAACATTTTCCTTTACTTTTTTCAAAATTTAAGCCACATTTTTCTACAACCTGAGAATTTTTTTCTTGGAACTTTGGGACTCATCTCCTTCAATTTGCGAGCTCTCAAAGTCACACCTGCGCCAAAATTTTTTGATTTTTTTTCCTTCATGCATTTGCAAAAAATTACTAAAAATTTTCTACCCAAATGAGTCCTTTTCACAGATCCATGGATGTATATATTTGGAGTCCCATTCATTTTAGCAGCAGATTAATTTTGTGACTTGATGAAAAATGAGCAATTCTATTGATATCTCACCAATAGGATCGCTTTGTTGGTGATGTGTATAACTGGGCTGTAACCCCATCCCCTGTCCTTAAAATAATTTTAGGCACACAGATAGGCCTGTATAAATATATATAAAACATAACTCCTTCATATGCTCATGTTCCAAAGTGTTTCATTGTTCACACTACTTAATATGACAAGATTTAGGCAGCTTTGAAAAGGACCTGATATTCGTTTAAAATTTCACGGAGCTTCGCAAAGCTGCAAAATGCTCATGTCATTGCTACTTAAACATAGATGGCCTAGGATGATGGTTGATGAGTTCATCCAAAACTGGAACACTTGGCACAGAAAGTTATTAATTTGGTTAACAGCATGACAAAAGTGGTTATACGTAAAAAACATACCAATACATCTAAAATAAGAGCATTAAAAACATAAGACAAATGGCACACAATTCTTCACCATGATCCACCGGGCAGAATCATTTCGTACACTTCACAATTCTCAAAGGAAGACTGAATTGCTATCTCTCCTTTTTGTCAGTCTTCGTACCTACACAATCTTCTTGATTTTACTCGTTTATTATGATTGATTAACACGGTGTGTCCCAGTACCTCATCATTTAAAATCCTTGCTTCGTCCTAACTTCCCCAAAAATTCCTCTCTTTGGGGGTTTTTAAGTATCGTTGCTTTTCATACACCTTTTTTGCTCTTTTCTTGCCTCACACATATTTTTGACTCTACGAAGGATAGAATTCTTTTCCTTAACACATTAATAGGTAATTTTTCATCTGTACCTATTCACAGAAAATCTTTACATTTTCTGTATTTCTAATCTGACCTTTCGAAATCCGTGCATTTTCAGTGTATCCATATTTTTCCAATTAATAGACACCTTGGATTTTCACAGCCAAAGATGCAGAGCTAATCTGCATGAGAAGAAAAATATGGTTGGTTTAAATTCAACCTTTTTTTATTGCAGTCTCCTTTTCCAGACTCTGTCATATTCTTTTTAGAGACAGTCAAACATTTTTACTCACACAGTTGGGAAATGTTCTGCCAGTGGGAAATGGTGCTTCTTCGATAAATGAATACAACAAAACAACAGACGTAAAAACATCAGCTTCCAAAGTACATGCAAACTTAAAAAATAGAGTGGCACATGAAATTCATCCATCTGAAAATAATTCGGTGCAAGTTAGCGCTAAGACCAAAGCGTTCGTCCTTCCGTTGCCTCTCGGTGCACATTGAAATTCCACCACATAAAAAAACTACGCGTGAACTAAACAAACAAAACAGTCAGTGGAGTTAATCTCAACAAAAAACATAAATGAATGATGAAAAAAAAAAAACGATGGACGATCAAATTTTCCTCGAATTCCACACCAAAAAAACTCCTGAACGAACAATGTTTCCAGATAGTTTTAGAGGGTCAGCACTCTTCTCCATTTGGACCCACTTAAATAGATACATTTTATTGGCCAACTTGGCAACCTTGTGAACCAATGCCAAATACTCTTAATGGTATTAAACTACAGCTTGGCTTTCATATAAATTCATCAATGAATTTTGCAGAGACCAACACAGAAGCATCTCCGCAAGTCCCTCCATTTTTTAGGGATTTTGTCCACATTTCAAAGGTTGCTCGAGCTTTAACAATGCTTCACAAAAGATGTAAACTCAGTTTTTTTTTTTGTGTGTAAAATAACAGTTAAAGAAAAATAGGTGAGGAAGAAAAATGGATCCAAACTTTAAAAAGGAAAAAATTCCAGCATGCTGTAGACATGAATTAAAGTTGCTAGACAGCACAAATCATGCATAAAATGAAATGATGAGTGTTCCAAAATAACTGATGATGCGACGGATGAGAAAGATCTCTTATCTAAAACTGTGTATTTTTTCAGGAGGGTAAAATTAGGGGACTGCGGTCAAATCATTCAGCAAAGGTTTAAATTAATACGTGTTCCCAGATATCTTTATTAAAACTCTGGCTTCAATTGTGAGAAGGGAGAAGTGGGTATACATCACCATTAAAGAAGAAAAAGAAATGATTAGCAAGATACAAAAATAGGCTAGTTACATTCTTCGGATTTTGACATTTTATGGGAGTCACAATTTTACTATGGATTTAGTTTCTGATGTAGAACTTAAAATCTTAAAGGTACATACAAAGAAATATAAAAAGCAAATGCAAACTTAACACATAATTTCCATGATTAAAAAAAGCACCAAAAATTGTGAAACTGTAACAAAACTAGGGCAAAAATGTTTGGCAACTGCTATGACGAGATACCGCACTCACAATCGAAATTATTGGAAATCTGTGTAACAAGACAAGCAAATTAAATTCCTGGGTTTTAGGGAGAATACCATGTCCATATGCGAGTCCCGATTAGAACTAAGCCATCGTGAGATAGATTTTGTGCATCAATTAAAAATGTACTTACTTCCGAAGAATTAAATTCTTATTGTATACTTAATAACATAGGTCAGAAAAAATCTACGATCATCACACTGCCAATAATTATCACAAAATATTGACAATAGGACTCTTCTTAAAATTAAATTAAAATGCTCAAGAGGTTATATTAAATCATAGCACCGGTGGCTTCATTTTACTTCAGTCTAGATGGTGATTCATTATGGCACATTCATTAATTATAGGGTTGTACTTAAAAACACTTCCTCTTGCAGATATCAATGAAAGATTATGTACTAAACATCAAGAAATTTGGCTAACTCGGACTTTAGAAAATTTCCGACCATTTTCCAGTTTTCCCTAACTGGCATCCCGGATTTCCAGCCTATTAGGAACGATAATGTATCAACGTGCAAAATAAGAGGAGCATGTCTAGCTGTTGGTTTCAAAATTGGCCTTTGAGCTCTCTGTCCATGTTACCACAGTTGCAATCATATGACATTTGCGCTACATGCCCGCAAGAACTCAAAAAAGAGAGAATGGTCTTGAAATAGGAAAAATATGTCTTTGGCACGGAATTTTTGGGTGGTACTTTTCTCTTAGAGTTTTCCCTGTTTTTGAAGTTTTCCAGAAGTATAGAGCCACTGTATGTTTTGCGGAACTTTGATATTTACACTGACATTTTGCAAATAGGACCATGATTCATAACATTCAGAATTTTAGGGGAGATCATTTAGGAGTGTGCTTCAACGAACCAAGCTTTCTTCACTTACTAGCTGGTGGTTAGAATTATTTAGAAGAGAACACATTTACTCCTGGAAAGATCATAGGTGGCCTGCAGGCACATTCTTATATATTTCAGAGAAACGCAGGAATGAATAAAGTAGTCTACGAACCTTTGTTTGCCGAAAACATTTGATGAGTGATATTTTGGCAAAATTGTTTGAACTCGAGAAATCTAAAACTCTCATTTAATAAAATAATGATCCCTTGTTAAAAGGAATGACTTCCCATCTTTAAACTAAGTTATAGACGTAGAGGTGCAAGAAAAACGTACATGAAAATTCATCAATTTTAATCTGTATGCTGTGTCAAAGAATGAGAAGTCTTCTTCAATTTTAGAATTTTCTCTTTGACTTTTCAAGAGAGAAAACTTCTTCGATTTTTCCTTGACTTTTCAAAGACTTTCAACAAATAAAGACATGTTGACACTGAAACTGCTAGAACGTAAGGCTCAGTTTGTGGCATTGCAAGCCTCCTGTCACACTTCATTTTCTAGATAGAAAACCACTCATTGTCATTTCATGAAAACTTCATTGATGTATCTCCTCAATGAAATCAGACTATCCTGGAAAATTTCAAGCCAAAATGTCGGTTTGGTCTCCTGGGAGAAAGTAAAGTAAGAGTAAAGATTTTGAAACATTGCAACCGAAAAATGCAATTCCGTAGTTTTACCGCCGATATTAATTGCTGAGTCTGAACTCTGTCACCAGAGCGCATGGATGAGATTGGAGATTTTCGAAAGTACTGACAGAATTAGAAAACTCAAGGTTTCATGTGGAAATTTCCAACTACTCTCTGACTTTGTTGGGTTAAGTAGAATTTGCAGACTTTTTATGAGCTTGTATCTGTATGCCATATTGATTTTGTTCGTTTCATTTTTCAGAAGCAAGCCTTTTTCCTGGAGCTGATGGAAGTCACTGAAATCTCTGCTACCTAAAATACTGATGAAGGTTTACTTAATAATTCACGTTGGTGATTTTTAAAGCACTCCTGTTTCTTAAAAACCAAAGTCACAGCTTCCTTCATTAAATAGTTGTTTTTGTAATTGAACTTGTTTTACAGAGTATTCATGGATCAAATGTTTTCGACTTTAAATATCACAAACAAGGCAATCTTTGATACTTCCATCTCATATTTTTACAATTAAAAGACACCTATTTATAATAACTGTTAAAATAACTGGAGTTTGGCACTTTCTACTACAAAGTATTTCACCCTTAGAAGAATTTTACTACAGTGTTTTTTTTGGGTTTGTACTCTGGAAACATCAACACATACTTTCGTACATTAGGAAGGTTGAGAAAAAGTGTGGTGTATCATAATTTTAGGAACTTTGAGAGGAGGGAAATTCAAAGTGAATTTTAAAAAGTACAGAATACCAAATATTTAAAGGGTAAAAAAAAATTGGCAAAATGAATGGAAAAGCTTATTTGGAAAAAGTTACTGAAGACATCATTTGACAATAGACCAAACCAAAATATCCTGCCTTTTGAGAGACAGGGACTCTCTTGTAATTACTTGACAACTCTTGACGTACGAGTGCAAAGGATTCTTGATCACACGAGAATCATAATAAAACAGAGACTCGTAGATTTTTTGGTAAAACTACAAGTGGCAAGATTGCTTTCAAAATTAAGCTAAAGCTAGTGTTCCCTGCGCATCTGATTATTTTAAAATTTGATATAAGTAAGAAAGAACAAAGTGAGGGTATCAACTGTGCTAGTAGAAAAAGGACGGTCCACATCATCCGACAAAAGTGCTTTTGCCGACAGTTAAAAGTGAGGTGACCCTGAGTAATAATTTGTATGTTCATGCATTGTGAGTTCAATAATTTCAACTCAACCCAAGCCAGAGGACAGACCGAACTGCTCAGATCTGTCGTGCATGAAAAGAAGGTATGATCTGCACACAGAGTGAATAGAAGGCGGATTTAAATGTTCGAGCAGTTTTTATGTTTCATTTAGTTCCAATAATCTATTTAAGCAACAAAGTTGTCTTATTAATTAACCACAAAAACTTTTAAAGGTTTTGGCATTTGCTTTGCAATATTAGAATGAGGTATTGAGATTGGAAAAGAAATATTCTATTAAAAAGGCTTGCCGAAAAAATTTCTTCCGTTCACTCATCAGCTGTGTGGAGAGGGGTGATCTCAGAGCTACATGTTCATGCACTTCGAATGCCGCTCCAAAGAGCAGCATGCGAGTCGATCTGATGCAATTCAGGCCTGCGAGAAAAAACGCAAGAGGGAGAGAAGAGCAATTTTCCATAGACCCACGCTCACAGGTGCGACGTGATATCGTTGACGACAGGATTACCTGGCTTCTCATCTTTTCGGTGGAGGATGTCCGTCTTGGAGATTTTCTTCTTGAAGAGGTGCTCCTTGTTCGCAAAGTGATTTTCGATCTCATGGAGAGTGCGATTTTCAGTTTCAGGCAAGCAGTAATACAGGAACAGACTGCCAAGCAAACTGATGGCTGAGTAGAAGTACATTGTGCCATGCAGGCTGAGGTAGCGGATCATAGTATCGTAGGAGATATTTGCGGTGAAGGCAAAGATGTAACTGACAGACGCAGATGCCCCACTTGCCATTCCTTTGATCTCAGCAGGGTAGATCTAGAGAGAATAAAATAAATAAGAGTAAACATAAAGGATTAAGTTGGTGGTTGTAATTTCACTTCAAACTAGAACCAGAACAAATGAAATGGTTATTCTCCAATTAACATGAGCATGGCTTGATAAAGAGAGTTCCGGGGTCTGGGGATCTACCGGCAGAAATAATTAAGTGTAGCATTGACAAGTTGTCTTACTATGAAAAATTAATGCAAGACTTTTTTAATGCATTTAGAAGATTCTCTTGAGAACAAAATGGGCCTGTTGCAAACTTTCGCTGGAGCAAAACTAAGAACTGTTCCTTACAGATAATGCTTCAAAAATCACAATGAGCGCCTTGGCAAAGTCTGAAATGCACTCAAGACTTCACAATCTGCGTAAGAAAGTTGCGGTTTTTTGAGCTTCCCGCTTCAAAAACGATACTACGGCACAGGTGAAAATTTTGTTAGAATAGTCGTTCCATCGTCGGCAATACTTATCATGGCCGAACCAATCTGCCAAAACCTGTGTGATGGGACGAGATAACACCTGAACAGGATTAGACCACATAACAATTGGCGTATTTACGTTCATATTTTCCTCGCCCGCCTAGATTGACCTTGAACTCTCCTCGAATTACGCGCGGAACTGCGCACGCGTCAGCCATGATGAATATTGCCGACGATGGAGCGACTCCTCTAACAAAATCTTCACCTGTGCCGTAGTATCGTTTTTGAAGCGGGAAGCTCAAAAAACCGCAAATTTCTTACGCAGATTGGGAAGTTATGAGTGCATTTCAGACTTTGCTGATGCGCTCATCGTAATTTTTGAGGCATTATCTATAAATGACAACTCTTATTTTTGCTCTAGCAAAAGTTTGCAACAGGCCCATTGCTCACGATCTACAGGCATTGAAACAAATTCAGGCTTATTCATGGACTTTCCAGTGCCTTTACTTAAACACCTTTTGATATGTCCAAGCAACATCAGAGTACAAACAATAAAAAACCAATGAATACACACCTCTCCAATCATGATCCAAGGCAAAAGCCTGATCGATGCGTGTGACAAGTATGCTGTGGCTAGGAGTAGCATTGTGGAGAAAGAAGAATACTGAGATTTTGAGCTGGCATCACCGTAGCCCATATAGGCACAGGTTGCAACACCAAACAGACAGATACCACAACCGACTGTTGAGAACATGGTAAGGGGCCTCTTCCCTGTGTAGTGAATGAGACCGACGCACGTCAACGCACCAGCCAGCTCTACCAACCCGAAGAGCATGGCCGCAAAATATTTGTCAATTGGCGCACCCAAATCTTCAAAAATACTGACCTATGGGCAAAAGATAGCACAGGCTTATAGATAAAAATCATTAACCAGTTTTCTACTGTCCTAACTTCAAGTTAGGAGCTACTCGAAAGAGGAAAAAATATACTAAAAAATAATGGTACAAAACTATGAAATAATGCTTTGTAGCTTTGATATTTTGATCCACAATGTATACTACACTGAAAAAAAACTGCTAAAATCAACACATGAAATAGTGAAAAAAGGTGACAACTCATCAAAATAGATTAAGAACACCGGGTTGATTTTACTAATTTGGTGATTTGTCACCGTATTTTAGCAATTTTTTTTTTCAGTGTATATTTAAAATTGAATTTTCAGAGAAAGAAAGTTTAGATTGGACCAAAAATCTGAACTCAACAAACTTCGCTTTTTTGTTACTTTCAATCCTTGTTACATGCATTTCAGGGCTTTATTAGTGGCATAATCATGTGATACTTTTGCGCATCAACGTCTGAAGTTAAAAAGTTTGTACCTCCATTGCAGCATTTAATATTCTCTGAATATATTCAATTTTGTACAACACTGTCTGCTACAGAGCAGTGTATAAGCGTATAAACGGCTCCAACAACTGGTGGCCTTAAAGGTGGAGAGTGCAACTTGAGCGACCGCGTCCGGGTAAAAACAACTGGTGTGTTGCTCAATGAGTTCCCTTCAATGAGCAACCTGCAAAGCAGGCAACATGCTAAAAGAAACCAGCCGACAAATCTCCTTAAACTTTTCAATTCATATTTTCAAACGAGAGAAAAATTCACTCAATTAGGCTTGGTTCGACATTTTTAGAGGTTTTTGCAAAGAAAAGGTTTCCAAAACATTCCTCTCATCGAAAAAATTGACAACTTGATTTTGACTTCTTTAGCAATAGGGTCCTTTTCCTGTTGATAGTCAGAAGTAAAGCTATTTAATTTCCTTTCCCCTTCAAAATTACAAGATATCTCCTAAAAAATTTACTTACCACATAAGTTTGGATGACAGTCATACCACCGAAATGTCCAATGAAGTATGACATGGTAATGATTAAGAATGGAATGAGGAATGTTCGCTTCATGTACATGATATACATGGAACTTGTGGGTGATGATCTATTCAATGACTGATCGTGTGACTTCTGCAAGAGTGAAAGCTCACTTTGGACCGAGTCTGGTTCAACCCAACCACGCAGCCAGCACAATGCCTTCTCCGCAGCTGTTATTCTACCTTTGCCTGTTGAAAAGAGGTATAAAAATGAGAATCTATAGAGAGAAATTCGATACAGTTGTTTCAACACTAATTCTGAATTTATCAGATGCACGATTTCATCAAGTATCCGAGGATGATTTAAGAGAGGTGACAATTTCATAGAAATCTCTTGCAGCTTAACAGAAAAAGGGGAATAATTTTGATTTCAAACTGCAGACAAGATCTTTTATATTTTACCACCAATAAAAACACTTCTCATTGTATGGGGCAGGACAAATTGATCAAAAATTTTAAAAAAAGAAATAATCAAGGGATTGGCTGGATTCATAACTTTATCAGGAGAAAAAGAGAGTGAGTAAAACAATAAGTAAATCAAGGGATTAGCGCACTTCACATTAACACCTACTGCTGTGCTAAGGAAGAACCCCGTGTGAACATTCGAGAGTTGCCAAATTTCTCTTGATTAAACAAGTATTTTTGACAATAGTCATGCATATTTTTCCTTGAAATTTTCAGACAATTTAGATTAAATTGCATACAAAATTGTCTGAAAATTTTGAAAAATTATAATCGCAATTTTCCCAGTAAATTCGGTTTTTAACGGAGGAAACTTGGCAACGTCTGAAGGCTCATACAGCATTCTTCCTGAGTACAGCAGAATATTTAAGAACAGTAAATAAAACTTACTGATGAGCCAATGTGGACTTTCAGGAACAAAGCATAATGCAACGATTGCTGCCACTGGGAAGAATAAATCAATGAGTGCCACCGTTCGCCAGGTGAAGAAATTACCCAACAGAAGCTGTGATACCGTCCCCAATATTGTTGTCATACTGGCTGTGGCAGATAACATTCCCCGCAAATGAGGCTCTGTGATTTCAGCGACATATGTAAGTACCTGCAAACATTCGTGGGGATTATAACCTTTAACAAAGACTTGGAGATTCGAGATCAAGCCTGCTTCAAACATTTCAAAATTTAATTTTTTCTTCTTTTTTTTTCAATTTATTAGTTTTTAGTGAGCTTCCTTATACATAGAAATATACACTTTGTTAATAAATATAAAATAAAAATTAATATACAAACAACCAAGTAGTTTGTAACTTATTTACATGAGACAATATGAAGTAATAAAATAGATTTAAATTTGACAGAATCATTGCACTCTGCACTTTCACAGTGAAACTGCAAAAATGCGTATCTGGCTTGCAGTATTTCGAAATCTCCGCTCCGATTTTATTTTTAAAAGGAGACCGAGCCAATATCATGGCTTGAGGCAAAAAATTATTGAGTTGGAGTTTAGGAAGGGAACCAAAAACGACCCTCATCGATACCTTCCCTGATCTCCCTTGTCTTTTCCAGGTCGCTGGAACTACCCGATCTTCTCAGGTTTTCCAAACCGCTGGAAACCCTGTGAAAGATGAGAAAGAAGTATCAAAAGTAAAAAGCCACACCAGTGGTAACTTACAGGCGCTTCAAGAAGTCCACCCGAAAGACCGGAGATGATTAAGGCAGTATAGAGCATTGGAACACTGCTTGAGTAACAAAAACTTAAGAATGCAACAATAAATGGAAGATTCAGGAATATCATACATCGCTTCCTTCCAAATGGCTGCGTCAGAACACCGGACAACAGACATCCAATTGGGACGCAAATTAAATTTAAAGAACCTGGAAGATAAGGACAAACAAACAAACAAGACACCCATTTAGAATTTGACAGAAAAATGCGAAAATCAATTTAGATAGATAAAAACAACCATGATCAGGGTTGCGAAGAAGATGATGCATTTTGGTAAAATTTCCTGACAATTGAAGATATGGCAAATGGTTAAAAAGACATAATTTGAAATAGTTTTCGGTCAAAATTTATTGTTGGAAACTTCAAGCCTTTCCTACAAGGCAAATAAAGGTGACTTGACGAGTTTTCCCAAACACTTTCGTCATTTTTCTGGCAATTCCAGGTTTTCCCAGACTTTTTCAAATTCCCTGAAATTTCCAGGTTTTCCAGATATTCCCTGACTGGCAACCCTGTATGTAACAGAAAAAAGCTCTTCATCTCAAATACCGAAACAGAGGAAGTAAAAATTCTAAAAAGTTGCCCACAGATTATTGAATGATGAGCTATTTTCATACGAGTGTGAGAAAAAACTATGAACTTACTAAAAATTGAAATTTGAGCTTCATCGAGGGTAAGCTGATCATGAGGATGCCCATCATTCATCGTTGAGTTCCTCTTTTCTTGCAGCGCTGGAATAGCGATTGATGGCAATCCTAGTGTCATGCCATATGTGATAACTAGAAGGTTTTTGGCCGTAACGGCTAGAATCTAGAACAAAAAACGTGACAGAGTCAGGAAGTGGTTGACTAGAATAAATGCATATGATGGATAAGGACGCCTCAATTTTTTTGAGAGGTGAAAGTGGTGGCAGCAGCAGTAAAGTACATTCATTTTCGAGCAATGCCCTAGCAACTAAGGCTGTTTGAGACTCTAGGACTAAAGAAAACAGATTTTCAACGAGAAAAGAATGAATGGTGAAATAATGAATATGCATTGAAAGAAAGGAAAATATTGAAGAGAAATAAAGAAAACTACTTGAAAAAACCACTTTCAATGACTTCCTTTGTATTTTTTATAAAGAGTACGCTAATGTTTCACCTTTACTCCACTATTTGCTCGGAATATCTTTTACGAAACAATTTGAGAGGAAAAAACCTGGTTGAGAGCTGAGTAATAGAGGAATATTAAGTAAGGGGAGTAAAGTCTATAAAGTAGGAAGAGATCCTATGAATCCACATAGAATGCTAAGGAGAGAAATCATCAAGAGTATATCTACGTAGATTTCATGTGATGTGTTAGGTTACGATGTCGAAGAGAGGGTGCATTTTGGTAAAAATTAATAATTACCTGAGGAAGAGCTTTCCGGAATGGTTTGGCAGGATTTTCCTTCCTTGGAAACATGTTGATATTGTTGTTTTGATTGTCAAATCTGCGAGACTTCCCACTGTTTGATACAGAATCACTGCAACACAAAACAAAAGCGATGTAACTTACGGGCATGAGTTGAAGTTGTCTGGTGGCATGAACAAGTAGTACTACAAAAGAGGAGAAGAGGAGGAAGCTACAGCTACACCTTGTTAGAGCAATGATAAAGGCAAAGTCTCAAATTTTATTTAGAGTAAATTACTCTTATTTTTTGAAGATCATAATATCGTTGGTTACAGTTGAAAAATGCATTTTTCCTTTCATCCTCAAAGGCAACTTTACTTTCGGCTAATGTTTTATTTATTTATTTATTTATTTATCTATTTATCTGTTTATTTATTTATCTATTTATTTGTTTATTTATTTATCTATTTATTTGTTTATTTTCTGAGAAATAGGACAGACAATTATTATTGTCTCTAAGAGGATGCTTGGATTTTTTATTGAACAAAAAAAAAAAAAAAATTGAGATAGTAAAAAAGAAGAAAAAAAATGAAAGAAAGAAAAAAACAAAATAAAGGAGTTGGGCTGTTGAGGGGAAGATATTTTTCGACTAAAGCTGGAACCGAAAAGAAACTTTTTTTTCATTGAATCCATGGATTTGCAAATAAAATCCCTGACTTTTCCCCGACTATTCGAGCATTAACTTCCCTAACTTTTCAATGCTTTTTTTTTTTTTTTTTTTTTTTTTTTTTTTTTTTTTTTTAACATGACTTCTCATAAAAATTCTATCCACAAAAACAAGAAGCAATGTTTTGGCTGAAAGAACAAATATGTGTGTCTGCAGAAAAATTTCCTGACTTTTCAGGGTTGGCCAAAATTCCCTGACTTTTTCCGGTTTTCCCTGACCTGTTGAAATTCCGACTTTCCCCGGTTTTCCAGACCTGTACCTAGATACCCTGTTTAGCTGATCTACAAGCATCAACCATCAATACACGATTCTGAGACCAGCGCAACTGACCAATTCTGCCGTGATAGCGAAGAGAGCAGTAAGTGTCAAATTTTCGAAATCGAGTTTCCTTCAATTGAAATAAATTCAGTCGATTTTTAATCATCCAAACGATTTCTAAGAATTTTTCGGATACCAAGTGGCAATTTGAAAAAGAGCGGAGACTTCTTTCAATGAAATTTCCCGGTCAGAAACTTCTGAGCCCGATTTCTCAAGATTTCATTTTTCTACATGCTGCTATCTTCGCTATCACGGTAGAATGGAAATGTTGCACGTGTAAGGAATTTGCGATTTGACTGTTGATTCTTATGTAAAAGTTCGCGAGAAACACGATGGTCCCGCTGATTTTCTTTGAAATCAACTCCCAAGCTCAAAAAACGCTCTCAAGTTGAGGCCAAAGTGGAGGGTATATCCCACACTATCCTGAGAGTCCATGTCTACATCAAGACAAAATTTCCAGGCAAAGATAGGGAGCAAATAAATTAGCAGGGTTGCCGTGTTTTCAGTTTTAGAGTCCCCAAATAAAGTGGCAGCCCTGTCAATGTATTTGCTCCCTATCTGTGCACTGGACCGGATTAAGGGGGTGGCCACATGGGCCGCGGCCCATGGCGGCAAAATTTAGGGGGCGGCAAATTTTGCAATCTTTTTGAATGTAAGTATCAAAAAAAGAGAGAAGAAAATCGGATTCAGAAAATAAATTACAAACGAGAAAAGGCGACAAAATCTTTCATTTCCTGAGAGAAAAAGTATAGTAATTTCTAATTTTGTCGTCTTTCCGTGATACAAGAGACAGCACCTTTAATTAGTTGAGTTAAGAGAGAAACCAAACATGCAATTTGACCTGGAACGGAGCGGCGCGGCGGTCGGCATGAAACACATAGCGCCTACAAGACTGCATGAATACTTCACGCATTGCGGCAAACACACTGCGGTCAGCAGCAGTCGGCTTGAAACGCATATTGCCTACAAGACTACGTGAATACTTCACGCATTGCGCCAAACAGTGTGGTCAGCAGCGGTCGGCGTGAAACGCATAGCGCCTACAAGACTGCATGAATACCTTACGCATTGCGCCAACACAGTGCGGTCGGCGCGGCGGTGGAGTTAAAATTTTTAACCATATTTATGTCTGTTCTTTCATGATTTTTTCGTTCTTTTTTATAAATGGAAGCCCTTGTCCAAACAGGGATGGGTTTACGGAACTGAACTTTTGTTAGTGTTGACAGGGCTTTTACAAAAAATGTGCCCAACACGAGTAAACGCGTCTATACACCCCTCCCCCACCGGCGCGTTCACTTGATGGTTTTTATAGATTCGACAGATCACACAGGTGAGATTATATTGATATCGATTGGTTCAATATGTAACCACAGCCTCAAAAGTCAATTTAGAAATCTGAGGTAACGGGTCTTATGTGATCGAATTTTTATTCTCTCGAGTAGGTATCAAAAGGCAATGAAAAGTGAAATTGTTAGGAATTTTCTCATTTTCAGCTTTTCTAAATTAAATCCTAAAATTTTTGTTCGAGGTTATGTTCTATTGTTTTGAACCAAACGATACATCGAACCACTGTCGAATACGATCTATTGATGTTTATAAAACAAATGAGAGGGGGGCGGAAAAATACGGGCGGCCCATGGGCGGCATGTAGGTAAATCCGGCTCTGTCCGTGCACAGAGAGTTTGTCTCGATGTAGACGTGGACTCTCAGGGTAGCGTGGGGTGTCCCCTCCATTACGCCCTCAACTTTGAATGCTTTTTTTGAGCTTGGGAGTTGATTTCAGGAAAAGCAGTGGCATTATCGCGTTTCTCGCGAACTTCTATGCAAGAATCAATAGTCAAATCGCAAAGTCCTCACACATGCAACATTTCCATCGCCGAGACCGGGTGGTGTGACTTACTGGTAGATGTCTGCGACGGCGGTGCCCATGATTGGTGTCGGACGGTTGGGTTCGGGGCTGGGGCCGGGGCTCTGGACGGTGGCGGTGGAGCTGTAACCGGGGTCGGTTTCAGCCTCTCGGCGAGGAAATAAGCTTGGTGGGCCTCGGCGCTACGGCTCAGCCGGTGCTCATGCTGCCGCTCGAGTTGCTCCAGGCGCACGCTCGCAGGGTCCACTCACCGATTACATGCCTCTGCAACAAACAACCCAAGTCCATCTTTCAGTTTTCTCTCAACTTAGACTTGGATTGCACTTTGCAAAAAGGAACCACTAGCATTGCAATGTTGCTAAGATTGTGCAACTTCTTTTGTCTTGGAGGGAAAACCCGATTATCCATTAATAGTTTCTATTTTACTTGCTAAAAACTGTAAATTTAAGACAAAAATTACCATCTAAATTTCATAGTTTTTCACGATTTCCGCAATTTTATTGCAAAAGATGAAGTTGCACAATCTTAGCATCATTGCAATGCTAGTGGTTCCTTTTTGCAGAATGCAATCCACTTACAGTCCAGATTTGGGGGATCAAAATTCTACGAATAGCGGAAAAAATTGGGATACACGGTTTCATTGTTTTGAGTTGTTCATTTGGGTATAAAGAACGGTCACAAAAAAGTCCCCATGAATCCGAGTTGTGCTAAATACGGGGGGAAGGGGTCATATTGGGGTATTTTTGGGTTTTTCTTGACTTTAGCGCTTTAAATGTTGGCCTGAGCGCAAAAAAAGATTAGCCCAATTTCCACGAGTGGATTCGGTTGACTCTTTCGACCAAATTCTAATCAGAATTCATCCAGTCATTAGCCCAGGTAAATAACGAAAGGAGCCTGCTAAAAATCCCGGGTAGCAATGTTCTCAGTGATTCTTAAATAATTTTGACGCTGAATCCGAATTTCAACTTCGCACCGGAAACTTCGGGCCGGAAAGTTGCCGGAAAGTTGGCAAAAATGGCCTAAAATTGGTTTTTAGGCGGATTATGGTCTGTAACTAGCTAGCGGAGAACTGATCTGACGACAAAATAGGTTATTTTCATAATTAAGGCTCGTTAATCTTATACATAAATTTCCTATAAAATTGTTCCTATGCATTTTTTTGCTCAAGGCAAAATTTACCCAGCTGGAGAGTCCCATACTTCGGAAAAAGACCAGAAATTGACATTTTTCTCGGTGTTTTACTATTGCTTCCTTATCAGCGTCAAAAATTACATAAGAATCACTGAAAACATTGCTACACAGGATTTTTGCAGGCTATGGCCCTTTTTTTGGCTTATTTTTCTGGACTACAAATCAAAATAAAATTCAATAACTTTTCAAGAACTTTCCGCGAGTTTCTCAAGGACTGCCGACTGAACATTCAAGGACTACGTCGTAGTTTGAAGACATTTTATCGAGGATATTTACCCTAAAAAACAAAGGAGCCTCTTCCCTCCATCATTCTTCTCGACCGCATTAAAGCGATGTCGGACCTTTCGTAATGAGCAGCTCAAACAAATCCCGTTTTTTCGGCTTTCCGAAAAAAATTGTACGCAATGTAATAAAATTGAGATTATTTTCGAAATCAGCAGCAAAAAGTACGAGTGGTTTATGTTGAAAAGTAGGCAATTACATTTAAAAAAAAAGACTTCCCCCTATCAACGCAAAACAGACGGATAGTATTTACATTGGATAACTGGACAAGATTTGGTCGTTTGATCGGAAAAACTATGGTATCAGGAAGGAAGGAATGGGAGAAATTTTGAGTGGGAAAAATTTTCCAACGGGATGTGAAAAACGGCAGACATTCTAGAACTTGCCGCTGAATAATACATATATTAAGATGAGAAAATTGTGTAGAATAGAATACCCAGCAATATTCAAGAGGAGTGAATTTTTAAAAAGGAGGGGGGGGGGGTTTCAAGGTCACCGAACTTTAAAATGTAAATCCGATGTAAAATCAGCCTACAAAGTTTGTTTTTACACGGATTAATTTTCAATCGATTTACATGGATTGGAACGTTGTCGAGGGGTACCTTGTTAAATTTGAAATTCATCATTCTAACTCATCGAAATAAGCCGCACCCTAATGCTGCCGTGTTAAGGAAAAACGCCGTATGAACATTCGAGAGTTGCCAAATTTTATCCAATAAAATGTTTATTCTTGAGAAAAGATATAGCTATTTTTCCTTGAAATTTTCAGGCAATTTAGATCAAATTACGAACAAAATCATCTGAGAAATTGAAAGAAAAATATTAAAAAAAAATGTCTATGAATCAGCGACTTGTCAAAGGAAATTTGGCAACGCCTGAAGGCTCATACGGCGTTTATCCTCAGCACGGCAGAATGGACCGCTCGACAGGGTAAGAGCTCAAGCACTAAAACACAAGCGCAGGAAATTCCGAACTTGTCAAGCGAATTTTATTTAAAGTTCCGATCCTCTTTGGGAAGTTCTGCCCCGGTTCGTCTCATCAATCACCGCCACTGGTGGACACCGTTGCTACCAGATTCGGCCAATCAGATCCGGTGGTTTTCGATGGATCGAACCTTCCTCAAAACCACCTCGCGAGGCGGTACCAAAATCACTCACCGCAACGTTGCGATTCGTTGGTCACCGAATCGGAAGTTTCGAACTAAAATAAAACGTTAGCTCGGAGGTTCGGGCGCAAAAGTAGTACCGAACCTCTAAATAAAATTCGCTTGTTGTTAGCAACTGTGTTCGTCATGCACTCTCCACCTTACTGACTCTTATATCAGGGTTGCCACAGACTTTAGAAAATGAAATTACCTGACACATTTTGGCGAAATTCCCTGACAACCCTGGTAAAAATTGGCGATAGGAGCTGCGTTTCAAAATACCAGGAGTTCTTATAGCCGACTAAAGAAGGCAATTGAAAATCATGTAGCTGACTGTAGAAAGCGGAGCAAATAATACAGCCGGGCTATACAAAGCTATAAAAAAGGATACAGTCGTGCTATAGTTCCTATCGCCGGGCTTCACACTTTATCGCCATTGGCTATAAAAGGCTACAAGAAATTGTGTAGAAATTCGTGTGCTTTGGAAATCATTAGGTTTGATGCCTTAATAAATAAACGAACTGCCTTAATATTTACAAAACACACATTATATTTTCCTTTAAAACATATATTTTTTTTTTTTTTTCATCAATTAAAATGAGAACAGTCCAAAGTCCACACAGAGTGTGCAAACATTTCAAAATGATGAGTTGAAAAACGCTAACTCCGGGAGATTAAATATTAGAGCCTAACACAAAGCGGAGCGGCGACGCACTGGCGCCTACAAACCTAACAGGGATACTTCACGCATTGCGCAATGCGTGAAGTATCCCTGTTAGGTTTGTAGGCGCCAATGCGCGTTTCGCGCTCTCGGCCGCCGCGCCGCAGCGTGCGGGCGTGCCACGGCGTCTGAAACAACTATTTCACACCAGAGGTATTGCACAGTATCATAAGAAATTGAAGGCGCTTCAACATATTAAGAGTGACAGGCATCCTTCAAAAGTACGGAGCTTTCCTCGCAAAATAAATCAAGATCCTACGGCACAAAAAGAGAGCGGTAGTCCAAAAACTAACTAAGTCCTAGTATCCGTGTTTAGTAACGTTTAGCATAAACTTTATCGTTTGGCTGTTGCTTAATCGCCATCGGCTATAAAAGGCTATAAGAAATTGTACAGCCGGCTACAGAAGCTATTGGAAATCTTACAGCCGGCTTTAGATCTGTAGTATTTTGGACACATCCTACTGCCAATTTTTACCAGGGAATTGAAGATGAGACGGATGGTTACGAGGGCATAATTGGAAATAATTTTCAGGCAAAATTTCTAGTTCGAAACGTCAAACCCATTCTAGAAAGCAAATGAGGGTGGTTTAACACATTTTCCCTGACATTTCCCGCTTTTCCCATACTTTCTAAAATTCCCTGAAATTTCCCGGTTTTCCCTGACAGTTCCCGGTATTCCCTGACTATGGCAACCCTGTTATACACTTCACCGTCTTTTTCCCTCAGGTGCGCGAGGTAAAGGAGCACTTACGCGACTTCTCAAAATAGCTAGGGATAAAACAATAATTGGATCAATCTGGGCGATTAACGACTCCATCCGCGTGACGTCATGGTTAATTAAGGACCGATCAATTTACGTCACTGTCCCGTCCACTTATTCAAAGCTCTCCTCGGTGTTGACGGGGGTAATGTCACGGCGTTTGCGTCGTGGCGTGGCGTGCTTTGGGATCTATCAATATTTCCCCATTTGAAGCTGTGGCAAATAAATTATTAAGGTGTTCGCTGCGAACACCCTGTTTATCGATACTTTCCCATAGGTTTAAACGGCCGATCAATCGATACATCGCAAAGCACGCCACACCACTGGTTTACGCAATGAATCCAGAGACAAGGGGAGACTCCATAACTTCTTGGCGACAGGTGGAAACTTCTACTTTCGGGGATTCAACATCCAGCAATGAGAATTATTGCAATTAAGATGAAGATGTGCAAAAACCGGTCGATTTTACACTAGGGAAATGCAAATCGAGACGAATATTAGTTCATGTTTGAAGCCTGCAAGCGAAGGTTCGTCGACGAGGCAAACCGCAAAACGCGCCTTCAAAGAGGTTGGGTAGATAACTATTCGTGCGCGTAAGGCGTTACATGCGTGTTGCGTCAAAGAAATGGAAGGAGAAGTGTCGTCGTATGTGAACTGGGTTGGACGTAGTATTTCTTACTGCTTTTGCTATATGTGCTTTCGAAACATTGGCCTGCGTCTCAGAGTAGGTAGTATTTAGTTATTCGTATCCACTGAAAGTTCGATTAAAGTGGATTAAAATCTGTCATTACGGGAGCCCGGAGCACTCCACACGATACATCGACATCGGGAGAAAAATAGGCATTTCCCATCGATCACTTAAACTTAAAATCATGTTTAACCCGTTTAGAGAGAAATAAAGCTACGTGAAAATAAAGCCCACCTAGATTTTGGATGGGACCAGACAGAAAGTCGTTGGTTTAAAACAGAGTGACAAGTTTTCTTAGATTTCAAAATTCCTTGACTTATCGGGATTTTGGACATTAATTTCCTGACAGTCTTATGTTCTTCCTCGGCACAATTTCTCGTAAAAATTCTTTTCACGGAAAATTTTGCTGCTATAAAGTCTCTTGAAATCGAAAAGATGAAATGTTTTGATGAGAGGAAAACATTCTACGGTGCCCTAG